TGAAAGGATGCAGGGAAGCCCTTCTGGATTATTACACGGACATCATGAGATCCATTGGCATCACCACGTTTGTTGTTTGGGTGTTTGAGGTAAAACCACATTTACTGAAGTGTTCCTTTCATAAAGGTACAAAAGATGGAACAGCTTACTATGGATTGAATGATTGGTGAAGAAGAGATATACTACTAAAAAATATACTACTGAATGCATGCAATCTTCTCAAAGAGTAATTTGCAATTAAAAGAAAAAGAAAAAGCAGGAACTCTTCCACCCTCCCCCATCCTACTAAAGATATTGTTTGAATCCTGTTTTCCATACAAATATGTATGTTTATGATAAAGAGACTCTGGTCAAGCTCTAAATTAAATTCTTTGAAAAGCAAACAGACATCTGGGAAGAAAGCTTACATATCAGGTCTGTTCCAGGCATAAGAAATGGTATGAAAGTTTTTGATTATGTGCTATGAAATCCAAATAACAAAGTTCTTATTCATTGGAACCTACTGATCTGAGCACGTGAAATTTTTTTTTGATGAAAATATTTATACTGTGTTTCCCTGAAAATAAGACCCGGTTATATTGGTTTGAACCCCAAAACAAGCGCTTGGCCTTATTTTCGGGGAGGTCTTATTATTTTGGGGCACATGAAGCAAGATGGGGCTCCTCTTGCCGTCTTACCTGATTTCCAGCTCTGCATTTAAATATTTTCAGGGAGGGCTTATTTTCAGGGGGAGGTTTATTTTAGCGCATGTGCTCAAAAACCTGATTGGGCTTATTATCAGGGGATGTCTTATTTTTTGGGGAAACAGGGTAGTAGCTTCTCAAGAATATTTGGAACTCTTCTCTGAACTGTTAATCTAAAAAAAAATAGAAAACAGAATAAAATAGAATTAGGAGCGTTACCTTTCTGCCTTTTTATAGTTTCCATCATCAATTATTTCATACAGTAGAGGGAAAATTAAGCAGATTAATGGGCATTTTAAGAAATTACATTTTAACAGCAAGAGCAACTATAGTCCATTATCTTCTTTAATGGTAGGCTGTGATTAATAAAGCTTTTTAGGCCTGATACTACCAAGTGATTCCAATAGAAGAGTATATGTATCTCTTTAAACTGTGATTAACCCACTGTGGGTTAAACTGTGAAGCCTTGGTTCTCTTAAAAGCTTGACATAGATTCCCTTTTCACCCGTTTCTCACAGCAGAGAATTAAGGTGAGGTAATCTTGAGTTTTTTTCTCACTCACTCCTCCCTTCTAGGGCTAAGGCTAATGTTTATGTAAAGACTTTCTTCTTCAAAGTTATCCTCATACACTCTACAAGCTCAGTCCTGACAAGCACCACTGCTAATGAGATTTAAAGGGTGCGCCATGAATGTCTTAAATGGTCTCTAGTGCATATATTCCAGTAGTGGGTTCCACTTACCTTCGCTACTGGTTTGGAATTGCGAGTGCGTGCAGCGCTTCTGCGCATGCACAGAGCGTCTGTGATGACATCCAGGTAGGCGGGTGGAGCCTCCCACTATCGCCACTACCGGTTTGCCCGAACCAGGGCGAACCGGTAGAAACCCACCACTGATATATTCAGTAAATATTCTTTAGCGACACTGGGAGGCTGTAGCCAGTTTACAGCATTTCTCAGAGATTAAACAACAACCATCCATCAGTGAAATGGTTTTGTGTAAAGGAAGAGCAAGAGAGTGCCAAGCAGAATGAATCAGGAGGAAAGAATGGTATGTTACACCTTTCAATACCATTCAGGTTGGTGAAAAATGGATTCAGAAGGAAAGGGTTAACCTGAATCCTTCTAGTTAGCAAACAGGACTTAAGACTCTTCATGTTTTCATGTGGAGAAAAACCTCCCCTTCAATCTTTAGGTTTGCCTTCTTGAAACAGCAAGGCTTTTTTCATCTTAGCTTCATGCAATTTTTAAAAGTCAAACCTTTAAAAATCAAAAGTGCCCCACTTTTAAGTGCCAGCTAAAGCTTTTCACATCAAATAAATTAACTGGACGGAAATCAAAGAAGGGAAAAATTTAAAAATTCAAGCCTATGGTGGTCACCACCACCAAACTCTTAAATCTTGTGTTGTGGTGCACTATAATTAGTGGAATCGCAACTTTCTAATTTTCCGTTCATTTGAATTACTTTTTTTTCAGCTACTGGTTCTCATTGGAGTTCGTTATCTTCAGACATCAATGAGGAACCTTCTTCTACAGGTGGATCCACTCTGTGATTCTGATGGCTGGTTATTTGAAAACAGTTTTGTGGAAACTGCCATGTGGAACATCAACAAAATTAAACATCTTGGCAAAGTATCGAGTGTTTTGGATAAATCTAATATGGATGTTTGTACTACAAACCACAATTCAGAAAATACTACCCCCAAATATATCCCTGCAGCTTAATTGAATATAATACTAAAGACCTGGCAACTGCATCACAATGTATAAGAACATGGCTGCCAACCTATCAAAGCAGAAAGAGGTAGTCAGTTTGTGTGATGTGCTATGCCCTGGCTGTGCCATACAATATATTAGTTTGCTTGCTTGCTTGCTTTTGTCCCTCCGCACCTTAGCAACTCATTTTGGCACTCAATCCTTAAAGAGATGGTATTGGACCAATAACAGAACAAGAGGAGCCCAAAGCAGCGTTTGGCACTCTAGGAATAATTTTAACAGGGAGGGGAATGGTGATTGTTGAGAGGTTTGCCACTTTTGAAAGACCATTATTAAAACCAAAAACAGTTTTGAGCAGTGTTTGAAATAACATCTATTAACATGGTGACTCTTCTTATGTAAATTTTAAGTATCAGTGAATATCTGGGATCTCAAGTATAAAGAATAACATCAGATGAATTACTGCTGGTTATTTTATATCACTTGCACCACTTTGAGCATCTAATCCAGAGGTGGGAAGAAGGAAATCTGTAACTCATTGCCAATTTCTCCTTAGCCATCTGTTGCCTACAAGTTGTGGGAAATTTGTAAATATGGCTGATTCATTTGAGCATTTTGTTTAAGAATATATTCAGAATCAAATAACTATACTTAGTAAGAAATTTACCTGAGTATACCTTGTAAAATTAAAGTATTTATCCTTAAAATGTTAGTTATGTTCACTGCCTTGAGTTATATATGGGATAAAAGTCAGGATAAAAATATTAAAATAAAAACAAACCCTGGTGGTAATTAAAAAGGCATGTAACCCTATTCTTAGCTTTCCACTAAAGGGGTCATCAGGCCAAGATATTTATTTTTTAGAGAACAGAAAGACAAATCTGTTTCAACAAAAACATTCAAGTTGCAATTCTTGTTCCAATTATTAATCAAGTCACTGATGACATTAGCAAGACAAGTATTAAAGATGCAGCAGCATCTGCTTTGGTAACAGAAATAATTTAATGAAGATTTCTAGTATTATTTTCTCTATATGTGGGATGCAATTATAAGAATACTACTTTTTAAATCTTGCTACGCATGGAAATTATGCATTACATTCAAGGGCCATGTTATTGAAAAATGAAAAAAAAAAAAAAAGTAAATGTGAGTTAAAATCCCTGAACCAAGAGGATCACTTGGCCAATGAAAACCTAGCTTTCAGCACATGCAAAATCCAGCATTTGATTTACATGTGTTGATTTGCCTCACTTAGTGTTTTTCCAATATTTCACAGCCCCATGTGTGAACTGCACTGAAAATACTGTCATTTGAACTACGTCTCTGCTGTGTGTCAGGCCCTTGGAAATAAACCGGAATGAGCATGAGAAATGAGTATTAATTTACTGGAGAAATTTCTAAAATCAGGGCTGCTTTTTGTAACACAGGATTCTTATAGTTATAGTTAATGGGTCATGGCAAGCTCTGAGGCAGAGAAGATATGTCAAAACTGAAGCCTTGATGTGGTCTCTGCCTTTTCTTTCTTTAAAGAGCAGTTTCTCTTCCATCCTGCAAGTTCCTACAGAACAGGCATACTTCATGTCCCATCCAAAATTTGTATGCCAGAGTCCATATTGAGTTAGGTGGCCTTATAGAGATATTCCTTTTTCTTTTTCTATTCCTTAAGTTCCTATGAACTAATGTAATGTTTTTATTGCTTAGATTAACATTAGCCATAAAGTCGACAGTAGGTATCTTTTTATATGGCAGTGAGAAAAAATGGAGTTTGCATTTCAGGCTCAAACAGGAAAAAAAAGCTCTCCTTTTATTTTTATTTTTTATTGTATTTTTAAAAGAAGAAAGTAGGTAATGTTTAAATTTACATTACAATATAACATTTGGTACATATATTAAGGATTCCTTTTAGCATGGATTTTGTTTTATGAATTATTTTATGAATAACCTTACTATTTTACAAATATAATTATTTGAAGTATTGTTATGTTTGTTGTATACAGTATAAAAATGTTATTAGACTATGTGGGTAGATATGAAGTTATGATGGTACCTTCTGAATAATGTATTCGTTATTTCTGTTCAATTATAATGTATAATATAGATTTTTAACCCCTCTTAAGAACTAATTTAGTCTGAAATTTGTTGGGCAATACAAATAAAGACTACTTGCAATAAGATTTTTTTTCCCGATTTTTTTTGATTCCTGTTTTCCAGCAGTGCAGTTCCTTCCCATTTTGGGATAGGCCAAGAGCAAAGCATTTAATTTTTGATATACATTAAAGCTAACTGGAACCTCTCAGAATTAACGAAGTAACCTGCACTAACACATTCTCATTCTGAAAGGATTCACAATAAATATTAACTTCCTTTCCAGCATACCTTGCTGTTATACTTTGTGTAGTGCTTCACCCTCAGGTTGTTATAATGCTGCACCCAAAGATAAGTCACGGGCAAAGCCAGTTACAGATTACACTTATTTTGAGACCTGCTATACTAAAAGAGGAAACAGAAGCAACTAATGTGGTAAGAGGAGATTAAATCCCTTTGTTCTTATATCCAGATGCACTGAAACTATGTGTTTAGAACTGCTGCTGCAAAAGAATGAAAATACTGTTGACTGTTTTTAATTTGGATAAGTGGAAAAGGTCAGCTTACTGATGATCCAGACAATTCTGCTTTTGATCATTCAGCATTCATATCTGGGAAGTTGTATGCATGCATTGTTTTTTCTAACCAAATTCAAGCCCACAAGTTTCAGTAAGCAGATGTGGGCTAGTCGTTTTTTCTTAAACTAAGATTCTTCATATTCTCTGTATGATGTTTTACAAGTGAGGTGTTGACAATTTAGTCTCAAAGAGCTTGAAACTCAGAGCAGGTGCCAATTAAATCCCAAAAAGACATGATTAGTTTCCTGGCTTCGAGCAATCTCTTCTATGATGCAATGTTGTCGCCACAACAAGTGGAGCTTCCGATATCGTTCATGAGACAGGTGCAGAGGATTGCCTCTTCTTCAAAGAGAAATAAAAATACAATTATTGGGATTTAAAAAATAATATTTAGCAGCATTTTATTTGATCTGCTCAGATACATCTCCCAGCATGAAAGGATTATACATTTGGAAGGGGCCATTCAGGCCAATTAATTCAACCAGTTAAAAATCTCCAACAAATACTGTTATCAGTCCCCTTTGGCCCAGGCGGGGGAACCCACCAACTTGCTGGGTAATTGGTTCCACTGCTGAAGGATTCTTACTACTGGGTAGTTTTAGTTAATTCACAGAGAAATATTTAGAAGCAATAGCATCAGGCACAAATCTAACCTCAAATTTTCACTAGCAAACAAGTCTCTACTGCTCAGAAAATTAAGTGACATCTTACTGGCACTTTTATGACACAGTAGGACTTAATCTAAATAAAAGTATGAGGAAAAACTAGCATCCACTGAAGATACAGCTTCTTACAAAATAAAAAGAAAACAGTAACTTACATCAGATTTGGATCGGTTTCTCCATATTCATCTAGATAAGGGGCAGGACAGAAAGAACCTCTATTTTTGCCACCAATCAGCAGAACCCTGCAGTCTCTGATTCTTAAGGAGAAAATAGGATTTAAAAAAAAAAACAATCTGAAATCTACTAACAGAAATTTGCTGGCAAGCTTAGTACAAAATGTGAAGAATGTGCAAACAAGGAAGATCATATCTAGAAGTCTGCGGAGAAAGTTTCCAACTTATTTTTCTCTGCTAGCTAGCATTCCTACCCATTCCACTATTCTCAAGGATCACAGTTTTGTTAAGTGGGAAGAGTTACGACATGGGCAATCTCTCCCCCCACCATATAAATACTTATATCTTCTCTAAATACTGTAAGGCAGTGTTTCTCAACCGTAGCAACTTTAAAATGTCTAGACTTCAATTCCCAGAATTCCCCAGCCAGCTTGGGAATATCTTAAAGTTGGTAAGGTTGAGAAACATTGCTCTAAGATTCCTTTTTACTGAAGACACTATCCAATTTCTGGAATCATTCCAGTCTTTGTTAACTGTACTATAATTCATCCAAACTGGCCGCTTATCCCTCCATGAATAAAAGAAGGTAGAACAATTATTTTTACCCACTTCTTTCCTTGAGCTGGCATCTAAATCAGGGGTGAAATGTAAAATTTGTTACTACCGGTTCTGTGGGCGTGGCTTGGTGTGTGTGTGGGGTAATATGACTGGGTGGGCGTGGCCAACTTTTTTTTTTTTTACTTTTCAAAGCATATTTTCTAATGCTTTGAAAAGCCTCTGCCGATCAGGCAACTCAGCTGGAATTGTCAGAGACTTTTCAAAGCATTTTTTTAACCACCTCTTCGGCTAAGAGGTTGCAGAACCTCTTAGAAAAAATGCAGAAAAAAATGCTTTGAAAAGCCTCTGATGATCCCAGCTGAGCCGCGTGATCATCAGAGGCTTTTTTTTTTTTACTTTTAAAAGCATTTAAAAGAGGTTGTAGAAAAAATGCTTTTAAAAGTAAAAAAAAAAAAGAAAAGCCTCTGATCGTGCGGCTCAGATGGGCATGGTGGCAGGGGTGCAGGGATTTTTGCTACCGGTTCTCTGAACCACCCGCTGCCATTGCTACTGGATCGGGTGATCCGGTCTGAACCGGGAGCATTTCACCCCTGATCTAAATTATGGGTGCTATTCTCCAATATATCTGGAATGCACAAGATTGGGAATCCATCACCATGCTTCAATTAGTTTAGATTAGCTTAATTTTCCAGCTGTCACTTACTTGAGAAAAATGCAAACTCCAGCACCACAGGAAACTGCATGTGAATTGCAAGCTCCCAACTCTTCTCCATTTACTAGCACCTGGCAGCAGCTGTTTTGAGAACACAACATAGCCCCACAAAACAAACATAGGACAGGATGTTTGGTTTCATCATCAGAAGATCGAGGGCACCTGGAAAGGTAAAGTTAATTATACAATGAGATTTGGAACCAAGGTGGCTATTTTGAAAGGTGCTCTTATATAGTGCGAGATCATCAACAAACACCATTTCATCGCTAATATTCGTACAATGAAACAATTAGAAAGTAAATAACAATTAGAAAGTATTTTTTGGCATTGTTATATTTCACTGCAATAGAAATCAGCTACAATGGAGAGTGAAACTAGCTATTTGCAAATAGTTTTGTATTAATACAGGTTCATACCCAGTGGTGAAATCTGAACCGGTTTGCTACTAGTTTGCTGGCTGTGCATGCATGCTGCATGCTGTGCATGCACTGTGTGCACATGTGCAGTTCGCACCAAACACGTGCTGCATGAGCATGCACCGTACACACCAAAAGGAGGCTTGGGAAGGTAACTAGAACAACTGGGGGGGGGATCAGCTGTGGCACGTGATCTTGGGAATTTTTTTTTTTTTTTTACTTTTTTAAAACATTTTTTTACTACCCATTCGTCGTGTGACCTGGTGGGTGTGGCCAACTTGACGTCACTCACTGTTAGAGCCAGGAGCTGCACATTTTGAAAGACATTCTGCCCTTCTGAAGCCCCCAACGCTTTGAGTTTCCCTCTGCCACCCACGCGAACATCGGAGCCTTTTCTTGCCCCACTCTCCATCCCGGAGGCCATGCATCCCCCCCCCATCAATCCTCTGTATAAACCACCCGCTCCGTTTCTGCAAAGGCAGAGCCCCCCCCCAATGTAGGGCAATTTAAAGAGGGGAGGGGGATGCTGCAGAAAAGGCAGCCTTCCACCCATGCCTCCCATGCTGGCTCCGCGGGGCTTGGGGCTCCAAAGCAGCCCACTGGATTCCCACCCAGCCACCTGCCTATCAGAGGTTCTTTGGGAACTCGGCCTGTGGAGTCCGGCGCTCCGAGGGAAGGAGGCTCAGCCACGGTGCATTCGAGAGGGGTGGAAGCCGCCGGTGTGGCAACTCCCCGCACAAGGAGTGAGCCAGGCTCGGCCACACCACCGTGGAGCCTGGGCAGCCCCAGCCAAGGCCACCCTGGCTGAGCGATCACCGCACCTCTGCAGCAACAGGCACGCCGGGGCCACCTTGCCCGCCTTCATCACTTCCATGCACTGCACACACATCGCCGCTACTCTTGCCACACTCCCATCCCGCCTGGCTGCAGAGGGCAGACGTCCGTCCGCCCCAAGCAACCCCGCCACTTGCTTTCATTTCGCGGCAGGAGAAGGAAGAAAGCAAAACGCTGCTGCCTTTCGCTTTCTTCCTTCTCCCGCCATGAAACGAAAGTGAACGGCGGTGGGGTTGCTTCAGGCAGGCGGACATCTGCACTCTGCAGCCAGGTGGGATGGGATGGTGGCGAGAGCAGTGGCGACGGCCCCTTCCACACGTAGCACATGGAGGCGATGAAAGCTGGCAAGGTGGCCCCGGCACGCCTGTTGCTGCAGAGGCGCGGTGATTGCTCAGTCAGGGCAGCCTTGGCTGGGGCTGCATCCGCCCGTGCTGCGGCCTAGGCTGAAGGGAAAGCACAGCGGGCTCTGTAGTGGCACGGCCGGGCCTGGTGAAGGTGGGCAGCAATAGCGGTGGTGGGGGCAGAGCTTCCTTGGGCTCTCCCGCCATCCTGGAACTGCGCTGTGCCAGAGAGGTCTCCTGTGCGGCCATAGTGTGACAGGGGCGTGTGTGTATGTGTGTGAGGAAAAGAGGCGGCGATGAAGCCCTGTCACCTGGGAGAGGACCGTGGAGGGACATGATCATCAGAGTCTGATGATTGTGCAGCTCAGTTGGGCATGGTGAGGGGGTGCAGGGATTTTTGTTACCGGTTTTCCAAACCACCCGCCACCATCGGCTGATCCGGTCCAAACCAGGAGCACCCTGGTTCAATGAAATAAAAAGTGTATCTAATCAGTAGATTTCTCACCTAAATTGAGATCCTTGGTTCAAAAGGCAGCTGTAGTCTTCTGGAAGCTCTATCAATTTATTTCTTTCCCTTGGATATCTAGTTGTTCAAACAAGAAGAATTACTGTAAGCCAGGATTCAAAGAGGTATCAAAGCATCATCTGCTAGAGCAGTGTTTTTCAACCTTTACAACTTGAAGATGTCTGGACTTCAACTCTCAAAATTCCCCAGTCAGTATGAAATCCACAGATCTTCAAAGTGCCAAGATTGAGAAACGTTGTGTAAAAGTAAAGCCAGAAAAATGAAATTTACCTTATTGCAATACTTTTTCCTTCCAAGAAGCAAAGCACAGCAGGATCCGTGCACCATCTGTTTGAAAAACTTTCTATCAGTCTTGACAGTGGCAAAAACAAGGGGAAAGACACATAATCCTAAATGGAAGAAATGTTTAGGCCCCTGAGTATAATTTCCTATTCAGGCGGGAATCTATTAAACCATCCCAAAAGATGGCTGCTGAGGTGTTCCTTGAACAAATCCTGCAAAGGGGAACTTAGCATGTCTCTTGATGACCGGTTCAATGTTGAATTGCTCTATCCAAATAAAAAGCTTTTCCTAACATTCAGCTGGAATCTGTCTTATTTTACATGACAAAATCATTCTGCGGACTGCACTTTGGGGCAGCAAGGAAAAAGTTTTAGTCTTATTCAGCGTGACACCCATTAGAGTAGTTGAAATAGCTATCATGTCTCTCCTCAGTAACTTTTCTCAAGGTAAACCTATCCACTTCTCTCAAGCTCTTCTCTTAAGCATCTTCTCTTTGATCAACCTCACTGCTTTTCTTACTATTTGCCACAATTTTTCAGAATCTCTTAAAAAATATCTTGCTTAGAATAGAACCACTCAATATAGAATGGAATTACTTGTCTACTGACATAGCCAAAAATGCATTTGCCTTTTTAACAGCCATGTCACACTGCTGAATCTCTAGATGTCTACATGAGAACCTTACCCTGACACATTTCAAGCACTTATATTTGAACAGTTAAGTGCATGACTCACAAGATGCTGAGGAACCCTGGGAGCAGAGAACAGTGCCCAAGCAAACAGCAGATCAGGCCTTTCCATTATTAGTTCTTGAAATCAGCTTTTGCATGCACCATCCCTCTAATCTTTTTGTTCTTACGTCTGCAAATCTCACCTTGGAATTAATTCAAGCTGTTTTCATTCCTGCCTCCAAGAGAAACTCCTATGCTTACAGCAAGACTGAGGAGTGGCTCTTCCTATTCATCATTTTGCACTTTTATATATGCTAACTTTTGATTTGTCTAAACTAATGCATCAGGCTGAGTGAACTATTTTTCCCAAGAGAATCCCAACAGCAACCTGAAAGTGCTTTCCCTAAGGTCTAAGATAAAGGAGAGCTTAGCTTTCTCAAATCCAAATCACAGATAAGCAATTATTATGCATAAAATTCCTTAGAATTGTTTTATATTTTATTATTATTAAATATGATTAAATAAATACTAAACTTGTTAATCTACTTATATTTAGGTCATGGTTGTTCTCTACTGGCAGACTGCTCCCTAACACATATACAAAATGAGAATGAGTAGCGTGTAGTTCACTGGACTGTGGGAACACATATGTTATCTTAGCATGTTGTGTATCTGTTAATAATGCAGTTTATTTGTTTGCCTATAGCATATTAGCTGTTGTTTTGTATCAATATAGAATACCTTTGAAGTAAAGGCTCCACAATATTCCAATACTCTTGGAAAAGCATGAAGAGATTGGTAGGTAGAGACAGATAATCACAAAGTGCCTTGAACTGATCTTCCTCTGAAACTGTTAAAAGAATAATTTTAGATATTAGATATAATAATTAGATATTAATTGCACCATCTAGGATAAAAGCTTTCTTTATTCAAAAACTGCAGTCTATGCAGTCCATCAATTGAATAAGTATAAAAAATACTGTAAATAACCAGAATGAGACAATAGTCTGCACATAAGGAATTGATGAAGATTCTTGTTCTTACAGATCAGCAGAGCTGCTGGTTTATTTTCTTGGTGACTGTAACCTTAATAATTCAAGCTGTAACAGCTTTCTTACACTGGGGAAAAACAAGAGGCTTCTTATATAACAACCAATTGCCATGCTGATCATTTCTGTAAAGGCTGTAAAATTCTACCTCTAAGAAAGCAAACTGATACTGAAGAGTTAACAAGAAATTAGAACTATTTGCTCTCCAATCAGAAAGACCCCAATGCACAGAGCATTGAGCTTCTATAATTTAATGTGTCTTCTTTTGGGGGGGGAAAAAACCCCCCTTAATAATCAGCATTATACTGCCCCCTTTTTATATTCATGATAATTGCAGTTACCAGAAAACAGCAAAGAGCAACATTTTAAGAAGAGGGGTTTTCAATGAAGAGTACTGCTTTGAAATGTGATGGATGTGAATTGATATTTACATTTTATCCATATTTAATAACACATTTTGTTTCCTGAACAATTTGAACTTGGCTCCACCTCAAAGTTAACGAGGTAGCCTACCCAGGTACTTACCGGATGAAAGTTCTTCAGGTGGAGGTACTGCCAGCAGATAATGGAAGAATAAAGCAGCGCACCGGAGGTAGGGGGTGATGCCTTTCTTTATGCAATCCCACAAATACCAACCTGGAACTTGCAAGCTGTAACAACTATAACAATTCAAATGCATGGATTTAGCATTTTCAAAATTTTGAAATTGGATTAAAATCCTAACTGATTAAAAATAAATGACCAGAGCATAGTGGAAAAATATGTATTAAAAAAAACCTCACACTAAAGCAGCAATGCTGTTTCTTGAAAAGCATTCCTTCATTTGCTATGCTCCAAAATAAAAATCTTTTTTTCCATCAAGAAATATATATTTGAGAACATTTATGGAAAAACGGCAAAAATTATTAATCTCACTCTAGAAGTACCCAGTTATATTCGACTAATGTACAACCAGTTAGTGTTATTAAAAAGGCTGCTAAGCAGATTGCTATAAAGGCATTTTTATGCCCTGCTTTCCTTTTTCTGTTTATCACCTTTTCTCTCCTTCATGCTATTAACCGCTGCCCAAAAAGGTGTTGCTCTGTCAAAAGTAATGTTATTTATTTTGTTAAATTATTTAGATAATATTTTGTTAAATTATTTATTTACCCCTTCTGAGAGAGAGGGGTAACTATGCTTATAAAACAATAAACAAATCTAATAATTTGGCCACATTGCATTAAATCAGATTTGCTTCCAGTCATGGTGCTCTGTTTAATCTAAAAGATGAATTAAGCAATCATAGCTTGTTTAGCCCATTTTCCTTCAGTTTGAAACAGCTAGTACCTTGCCTTCCTAATGAAGTGGTTCACCACTTAGGCGGGATACAAAGCCAAGCCAAAAATAAATCATAACATTGCATACAATTGTATTTATTTGTTTATTTATAAAGGTTTCCCCGTCCTTGACTTGGTCAGGGGGCAGTACGCATGTCCATTCTCAGCCAGGTATTATCTGAGACACATTTCTGTCATCATGTGGCCAGCATGAAAATATGGAACTGTTACCTTCCCATTGAAGTGGTACCTATTTATCTACTCGCATTTGCATGCTTTCAAACTGCTAGGTTGGCAGAAACTGAATGGGAGCTTACCCCATTGCATGGCGCTTAGATTTTGAATCCAGATTGTTGGCTTTCAGCTGACAAGTTCAGTGTCTTAATGGCTGAGCCATTGTGACCCTGTTTATTTACATCCCACTTTTTTTTAAATAAATAATTCAAAGCAGCAAATATCCTTATAGTCCTCCTTCCTTCTATTTTCCCTACAGTAACAACCCCATGACATGAGTTGCACTGAGAGTGACTGACCGGCCTAAAGTCATCTAGCCGGCTTTCATGCCTAAAGCAGGATTAGACTTCATTGTTCCTGGTTTCTAGCTTGATATTTTAACTATTAGAGCAAATTGGCTCTCATGCAAACTAACAATTGCAATCAGAAAACCAAAAGCAAACTATATTTTCAAGCCACATAAAATTTTCTAGCTAAATTTTTATTTTTTATTCTAAATTTGTTTCTGCCCTAATCCCTTTCCCCATGAGATTTATTCACTGATGTGTTTGCACAACATATTAGTAAATGTCACAAGCAAATCACTGATTGTGAACCTCTGAATTGAAGAAACCTTTTCCCTCTTCTTTTGAAGAATGTGAAACACAAATGCAACGCAACATGTTTATCTTACCGATTTGTGTATCTGCAAATTTCTTTGCAAAATGCTTCAGCAGCACGCGCTTCTTCACTATCATTCAGTACCTGAGCAGAGGAACAAACTGAAAAGATCGTTATTGGCAATTAATAACTACTGTCAAATCTGATTGATTTATGAATGTTTGTACCTGGTGCATCATCATAATAGTACCAATATGACTTTCGAATCCAGTGAAAGATAAAAATAAAAAACACCCCAGCTGGGAACTGTCCAATAATATCTCCATCTTATCTGGATTTAATACCATATTTTCTTTCTCATCCAGCTCATCGGTTTTGCATTTTGAAAATATTACTTTTTGGATTTGAATGCCAAGGGGAAGCAGAGCTGGAAACTACCAGCACATCAATGGCATCCCACTCTAAGCTCGGTATGAATCTTCCATTGATTTTGCATGGATACAGCCATGGAGACATGGCGAAATCTAGCAGGACATCATAGATCAATGGCTTAGTTACTGAATAGCACAATCCCAAGGACTACTTCTGGTTTACCAAGAAAGACCTGAAAGGAGGACCACCCAAGTCCAAAAGAATATTTTGCCTAAATGTATTGAAATCTACCAAGAAGTCCAACTAGTAGAACTATACTCCTCCATAGTTAAGAAACCAAAGTAAATTAAATGCTGCATCCCAATTGAAAACCCAATTAAAATGGTGCAGGCAGTTGTTATCATTCATATACATTTCATCTGGATACACACAATCCAGGTCAGGTTGAACACCGTAACACTGCTAAATGCCAATTAATTCTTAACTTCCAGCCCACAAAAGACAAACATATAGTAAAAAGAATTCACCTCTTTCCAAAATAATATGCAAAAAGGAAAAAGGAAAATCATTGGAAAATACCTACACAGAAACATATTGGTTTTGTACAAATCAAAAAACTAACCCTACATATATATACTTACCATATTTTTCAGACTGTAAGACGCTCCGGACTATAAGACCCACCTAGCTTTTGGAGAGGAAACGAAGAAAAAAAATTCTGCCTCTGCCTCCCAGCAATTTGCCTCCTTGCAGCAAACAGCAAACAGCCTAGTCAGCTTCAGCACAGCCTGATTTAGCAAGAACAGCTGATTGGCGGTTGGATCAGCCTCCCGGAATACCGATGATCACCTGTTCCAGGCTGCAGTGATCGCTGCTGCCTATCCCCGCCTCTGTGCCCCCCATTTTTGGCCTCCGCATACCCTGCTTTTGGCCTCCGTGCATCCCATTTTTGGCCTGTCCCAGGCGGCAGTGATCCCCAGGTGGCAGCGATGGGCGGCAGCAATCCCCACAGCCTGGAATAGCTGATTATTGATATTCCGGGAGGCTGATCTAACCGCCAATCAGCTGCTCGTGCTAAATCAGGCTGTGTTGAAGCTAACCAGGTTGTTTACTATTTTGCTGCAAGGAGGCAAATTGCTGGGAGGCAGGGGCCAAAGGGTGGGGGCCAGCGGGTGGACAGGACTTCAGCAACATTCACTCTATAAGATGCACAGACATTTCCACTCACTTTTGGGGTGGAGGGGAACTGTGTCTTATAGTCCGAAAAATACGGTATAAATTCACTGTTAAATTACTACCATTTAAGTAAATTCAGTTTGCAATAAACAAGAAAGTTAAGCAAAATAGATCAATATATACAATGTGACTTTAAACCTGTTAAATAAATTATGGAGCATGAGTGTTCTTTTAGCTACAATATTAATCTTTTAATATTGAATACAAAGCATTAACATCCTTACTGATTTACTAAAATCATTTATTGATTTAAATCATATGTCACTTTTTTCTTTTAAAAGAATTCTGAATCAAACAGTAATACTGAAAACAATATGCAATTACACAAAGAAAATACAGTACCTGCAAGTAAAACCTGCACCAAAGCCTGTAGAACTGATCAGAGTCTACTAAGATCAACTGATTCTGGAAGCCTAGAGGTCAGCTGATAGTGGGGAAAGTCTCTTTAAGTACCCACATCCTATACCATTTCATATTTTACTGATTAATAGCAATATACTAAAGTAAGCCTGGCACAGCCATTGGTGCATTCAAAACTGGGCTGGGGAAACAAACATGAGAATAAGGAACAAATGCACAGATGGGTTGCCCAGGAAATACATCTGAAAATTAAAAACTAAAAAATCTTGCGCAATGATATTATCCTCACCAGAATGCTCTCTTCTGTTCACAGCTGTTGGCAGAACATGAATCTATTTTTCTCAGGCCTAAGTCTATAGTCACTAATGCCAGGACTATGAGAGAAGTGGATATGATCAATGGACCTCTGGGCTCTATTGATTTTCTTGCACTGTTAGGTTAGGGAAGGTAGGCAGGAACGCACACAAGTACTATTATACATATAAATGGAAAGTATACAAAACTTTGGCAGAAGAACCTCAAAGTGATTTAATCTATTATCTAAAAAACATTAAAATCAAATATACCTCCATCTGCTGTTGTAGTAAGAATAATTTGGGTTATGTGGGCCATAGTAAACAAATGGAAGAGGTAGAGTTGATTGCAAGCTGAGCTGATAGCTGAAGGTTGCAAGCCTACATTATCCTCCCAATACAAAGATGGAAATGATAACACAGATCCAACCTACAAAGGAAACAAGAAACTGGTTCACTCGGCTTTCATAATAGATGTTTAAAAACAGCTATGCACGCAACATGATGAAATATGCTTTAAAAATAAAGGTTCTATAAATCTCATCCAAACAATCCAAACCATGAGATCTGATACCACATTTTAAATTAATTAATGTTAAGATGGATATAGACACGAACTGAAATCAAATCCAAATGAAAACAATGTCATCTCAACATACTATTTTCAACAGCTACATAAAAGAACTGTTACAGATATGATTCTAGAGGAGGAAAAAACCCGTAGATTGGATCTACTCAGTAAGTTTCAAAAAATAAGGAACATTAATATTAGCAGAAGCCATCAATACACTTACCAAAACATGGAAGAGGTCTACATCTAAAAGAGATGGTGTGTCTTCCACTTTTAAATTGGGCAAAAGAACTACAAAAGCAAAACAGACATTTCAGAAAATGGTACAGTAAACTGAAATTCATTGTTTACATCAGGGGTCTCCAACCTTGGCAACGTTAAGACTTGTGGATTTCAACTCCCAGAATTCCTCAACCAGCAAAGCTGAGGAATTCTGGGAGTTGAAGTCCACAAGTCTTAACGTTGCCAAGGTTGGAGACCAGGGGTGGGTTCTACTTACGTTTACCACTGGTTTGCAACAAGGCTGCACGCGCGCTCTTCTGTGCATGCACAGAAGCGTTCTGATGACGTCGGGGTCGGTGGGCAGAGCCTCCCTCCGGTTTTATTACTGGTTCTATAGAACCGGTCCGAACCAGGGGCAACCCACCACTATTGGAGACCCCTGGTTTACATTATTGTCATGACCCTTCCCTTAGGTCTCTAACTCCTCTAGACAAATGATAACATATTCCAAAAACTCAAGCAGCACAACCTGGCATGATAGAGCAGTTACTGTCTTCATCTAGTATTTGCTGCCACTATCTTCTCCTTCCCTCCAAGATGGTTATAGGGCCAATGCAAAATAAAATGTCTTCCCTTTTCTGTTAACAAAGAAACACAAGGTCATTTTAAGCCCTGTAACTGGTAATCAATCTGGAGCAGTCTGGGCCTTTCAGTGTTACCAAATTATAAGCTCCTGGAGGCAACAACCTGTCTATTTAAAATAGTACTTAAGGAGTTTATTAAAGCACACAGCAGCAAGGAAAAACACAGAGGTGCATTTAAAGAAAAGCTTAATGGATTAAACTTCAAAAGAGAAGTGGAACAGATTTGTCTAAGAATGAGTAAACCTAAAAAAAGCTAACCTGAAGAAAATTGCTACGGTTTGAGCACAAACAAAACAAATTCATAATCAAATAAATGCATTACACCTAGATATTTGTTTGGGTTACTTTCCTGTACTGAATCCTAGAAAATTTCAGCTGCAAATCTGCACTGCTTTTACAGGCAGTCCTCCACTTACAACACTTCATTTAGTAACTGTTGAAAGTAACAACGGCATTGAAAAAAGTGACTTATGACCATTTTTCACACTTATGACCATTGCAGCATCCCGATGGTCACGTGATCAAACTTCAGACCTTGGCAACTGACTCATATTTATGACAGTTGCAGTGTCTCAGTATCATCTGATCCCCTTTTGCGACCTTCTGACAAGTCAAGTCAATGGGGAAGTCAGATTCATTTAACAACTGTATCACAAACTTAACAACTGCAGCGATTCACTTAACAACTGTGGCATAAAAGGTTGTAAAACGGGGCAAAATTCACTTTAACAAATTCTCACTTAACAACATAAATTTTGGGCTCAATTGTGGCCGTCAAGTTGAGAACCACCTATATTCCTTTTCTACCTTCCCCACCAACAGCTGCTTCTCCAGAAAAAATTCAAAAAAACAAAACCCTCCAAAAATCTCTTTCTTTAACATTTAATCTCATTTAACAGGTCAACAGGAGGCAAATATTTATATATATATTATATCATCATAAAATGATACAATTTACATAATTGTAATTCTGATACTATCATAATGTTATTGATGACTGTTGATAAAATTTACAAGTGTATGTATTTTGATCTAATGGGATGTCTAAAGTCTTGCAATGTTAGATGTGCTTGCTTATATCTTATATCTACACTATTTATCAAAATGCACAACTGTATTAGGAAAGAAACATTTGGAAGAAGATTTTAAATATTTTCCAAATCTTGTGATGAAAAACGCATTACCTCCTAGGAGACGTACAAGATGTTGTTGGATCACATGTGGGGGTACTGTAGTCCTCTGAACAGCTGCAAATTGTACCAGTGCTTTAAGACCACTGTGCTAAAGTGCAAGAAAAAACAGACGGAAGTTTTAATGAAACTGTTCTCTTATTCTTTTTCTTAAAGAATCTTATCTTCAGTGCCTGAAGAATTAGGTCAATATATACCTCAGTAGCAAATACAGGGGGAAATATACATGTAGAGAAAGACTTACTTCCCCTTGTCTGAGAATTTATATTAGTGAATTGAGAAAATAAACATTCAAGGTACAATCTGAAAAAACTGCTTAAAAATATCTAGCACTTGAACATATGTTTAGCCAATAGTGAACAGCTCTGATTTTATAATTATTTGCTTTGTCTGAATGATGATAAATTGCACACTGAAATGCTTGGTCTTCAGCAGTCCACACATGAAGGTATTATTCAGTTTTAGATTAGAACCTGCTTCTCTCTTTTTAAAATAATTTATATTACCCAGGTAGAAAGTGGAAAGATTCCCCTTAAGGCAAGAATTCACCACTGCTCTTATATTATATCCATATAAGGACTGCAGCATTCTCCTGCCATCACAGAAACTGCTATAAATTTTGGAACTGAAATCCAACTAGGTTATGGTCAGCTACCGTGTTTCCTTGAAAATAGGCCCTATCCCCAAAATAAGCCCTATCCCGATTTCCCCTCACATGAACAAAATATAAGCCCTACCCCTAAAGCAAGCCCTATTTAAGAGCCTGTGCAGCCGGCCGCCTGCTCATTCTGTCTGGTTGCTGCTGACACAAGGCGGGGTAGTGGTGCCGTGGCCATGAAGTGAGGTGGTGGCAGCGCTGGAGAATGAAACGAGGTGTGGAGGACGAAGCTTCTCCTTGTTCGCCTTGCCACCTGTTTTCCAGCTCATGCCCAGCTCCCCGCGCTTCCCCAAAGCACCCTTCACTAGCCTGCTTTCCAGCTCTGTTCTCTGCCGCTGCATCCAGGGGCAACAAAAGAAGTTTGTGGGACTAAAGAAAAAAGGATCAATCAGACCTTCCAACTTCTGGGGGGGGGGGGAGATCTCGCAAAGTTGGAAGGTCTGATTGAACTTTTTTTTTTTAAGTCCCACAGTCTTCTTTTGTTGCCCTGTGTGTGGCGGTGAATGGAGCTAGAAAGCAGGTTAGTGAAGGGATGCTTTGGGGAAGCAAGGAAAGCTTGGCAGTGTTGGAAAGCAGGTGGCAAGGCAAATCCCCCAAGGGCTCCAGACAACCGATGGTGGAACTGGGATGGCGGCAGGAGGTGCCCCACTGGCTGCTGCCGGGTGAGACAGGGAAGGGACTGCTCCAGCCAATGTTGCCTCACTTTGCCAGCATCAGGACTCTGCGGTCTGGGCAGCTAAGGGGCTTTATCCTCCATCTCCCTGCCTTGCTTAGTGGCTGCGGCACCGGTGCATCGCTCAGCCTCCTGCTTCATTGCAGCAGTGAGTAAGGAGAAGAAGCGGGCCGGCAATCTGCACAGGGCTGCTGGAGCCGCCGCCATGAGGCCAGGCCGGTCGGCACATTGATGGCCTGACTGCGGGGCCCTCTGGTAAGCCATTGCAGGGCATCTGGGGCAGCTCTGCACCCCCCACCTTGCTTTGTCCTCCACCCACCTTCTTGCTTCATCCTCCACCCCTCCTCGCCTCTTGCTCTATTGCGACCGCAAAATAAGCCCTAGTGCTTATTTAGCGGCCAAAAAATTATAAGACCGGGTCTTATTTTCACACGATATTTAGCCTAAAGTCCTTCTTCATAAAAACCAAAAATGCAGAATGCAACTACAGCATCTTTAAGGCCATCCAGCATCTGTTTAAATATGCCTATTATTTGGAAGTGTCTTAACTAGGAATACAAATAATTACTCAAGAAAAAAATCACAATTTCATCTGGATCAGTACTCATGAGCCTTGTTCTCTGGAGATATACAGATTAATATAAAGGGCAAAGCCAATATTCTATTCAGCAGTTTACATTACAGCTAATTATATAACAATACAATTATATATTGTTATGTATATAAACAGCTTCTTGATCAAAATAAAATTACTATTTTTTTCCTTGTGTGACAAAGCACATTTTTCAACTTTAAAAAAATGCATATATATCATGTAAATTGTAAGAATTAAAAGGACCTTTCTCAAGAGACTGTCGGTCTATTTACCTTGGCAATGGATAAAAACACATTTATTACCACTAGTCATTCATACCTGTCTACTTTGTAGAGAGCCAAATAAAGCCTTGCCCTCATCTTCTAGAAGATTTTCTTTAAAAGCAAGAAGAAAATGTAAAGTGAATAAGGTATACTTTAATAGTGGTCAAAAATTGCCAGATTTTTACAGCTCAATTCCCATAAATCTCTATGAACTGCTGCTTTCAAGGGGATAGGATAAGATTTTGGTTTTAATGCAATTCGACAGGTATCAAAAACCTTGTTTTCGCTGTGACAGTTTATTTTTTTACATCTGGCATGCTTTCATGTCAAAGTTGGTGTGGCACAACATCTAAGAGTGATGTACCAATTCATTTGTTCATACCTCATTTTATTTGTTCATTCTTTTCACTTGAAATATGCCATATCAATAGCAAATTATAACTGTATTAAATTGTACAGAATTTATTTCTAGCCTTATGAGAAACAAGCTCCATTATAGTTAGACTTATTCTAAATTAGCAGTTCTGTTTCAGCTTATTGCATTTGCACAGATATAGATGTGTTACATCTGTTTAGTCATACACTAATGCGCAGAATAGTCTTCTTTCATTTTTCAATACTAGAAATTGAATACTAGAATACTGAATACTAGAAATTAAAGTACAAAGTAGAATTATTTAATAAACCAAGGCTTAGCCTATGGATATTATTAACCATGATATTAGCCATGGGCATTTAAATGTTTCTTGCTGTTGTATTTAAACATAATCCTAGTACCAATTCTAGAGCAACAAATATCTTCCCATCTACGACAATTTCTAAAAATGGTTTTGTGGTGGGTAATACCATTATTACCAGTTAAAGGAATAAAAGATAAAGGTTCCTCTCGCACATATGTGCTAGTCGTTCCCGACTCTAGGGGGCGGTGCTCATCTGTTTCAAAGACAAAGAGGCAGATGTCCGAAGACGTCTCCGTGGTCATGTGGCCGGCATGATTAAACGCCAAAGGTGCACGGAATGCTGTTACCTTTCCCCCAAAGGTGGTCCCTATTTTTCTACTTGCATTTTTTACGTGCTTTTGAACTGCTAGGTTGGCAGAAGCTGGGACAAGTAATGGGAGCTCACCCCGTTATGTGGCACTAGGGATTCAAACCGCTGAACTGCCAATCTTAATTGACGAGCTCAGCATCTTAGTCACTGGGCCACGGCATCCCTTAGTTAAAGGAGTACTAGGGAAAAAACTTATAGAAAGTAGTATTTTCTGAAATCAAAATAAAAAATTTCACTATCCACTTTTAGCAGCATAGGATGTTAATGGGGACTGTAAGGGTCTGACTTTTGTCTAGCATAATCCCACATTATGCCGACGGCAAGATGGGTGACATGTAAATTTAATAAATACATTTAGCATTCTATGTACCAAGATTTTATTAACTACTTTAAAGAGCTTTTCTTTATTTTCAAAAATATAATTGCTTACTATTTTACGTTAAAAACAAATAAAATAAAAGCTTTCTTTCAAATGGTCTCATAAATTCAACTTTTTACTTACCTAAACACTGGATTGTAAAAGCACAAGTGCTCCAAGTCATCATAGGAATACGTGGATCAACTTCGTTAGGAGCAACTTGTAATCCAATTCTATAAATTGCTGTGGCAAAGAGAACCACCATCTCTTTAATGCTGTTTGAATATTCAATTCTGTGGAAGGAACCCAGAAGTTGTGAACTGGTGATGATAATGTTCAAAAGATAAATTGTTACAATACGTGAAGTAATATTCTTAATTAAGTCAGAAATATGCAATACTAAACTGTCACTGGAAACTATAATTCCTAGCAACAGGCTTGAAATTTTAATCCTTCAGGCTAGATGCATTTGCTCAATGGAAAACAATACTCTAGTTTAACAAAGCGGACAACTTTCAGCTCTGTGGACTTCAACTATTAGAATACTGAGCAAAGGCCATGTGGGCAGCAAAATTCTGGGAATTGAAGTCCTCCTTGCTGGAAATTGTCCTAAGTTGGATACACTAACCAGGGGTGTCAAACTTGATTTCAGTGAGGGACAGATCAGGGTTGTGCTTGACCTCAGGGGGCCCAGGTGGGTGTGGCCCAGGTAGGTGTGGCCAGCTCCGACGTCATTCGTGTCGGGGCACCTGTGGTGGCCCGAGTCCTCTGCCAGCAAAAACAGGCTCCCAATCTCTGTTTTGGCTGGGACAGCCTCCTGCAACCCTTTACCAGTGAAAATGGAGCTTGGGAGGGCCCTCCCAGCTCCGTTTTCGCTGGCAGAGTTGCAGGAGGCCGTCCCAGCCAAAAACAGAGATCAGGAGCCTGATTTTGCTGGCAGAGGACTCGGGCCAGCTCTTCCGGTTTCCAGCACTGCTGCACACACAAAGGACAGCTAATTGTCGGTTGCACATTTGCGCCAGAAACTCAGAAGAGGAACGGGTAACGCCGCACGTGCCAGGCAACGGGTGACACTTCAGGCATGTGTGCCATAGGTTTACTATCAGGGATATAAAGCATATTATCATATGATGTAATTATTTTCTAAGATATGCTATATATACTGTAGGTTTTAATGGAATGTCCATTTTCTTTTATGAACTAACTAGTATAGTAACTCTTTATTCAGCAACTGTATAATGTTTCAAACTATTTCATAAACAAGCATTTCCATTGAATTGATCTCTTGGATATAGAAGAAACATCCATATGTAAAGTTGCTAATTTATAATAGATAGATAGATTCACAATATACATATAACAAAAACATTGTAAGTGTGACTCAATACTTACAAAGGCTGAACTCCAAAGCTAAGTATAGAATGGAATTCAGATGAAGCATCTTCCATTTCTTTATTAAGTAAAGATGGAGCAATTTTGGTTTCTTCAAAAATCAAATAAAAGATTGTTACATTTTGATTTTAACTAACTGAAATAAATACTTTTACTATTAAAAAAATCTTACTTTTATTATAAAAATGCAGTTTAGTCATTTGGCCAAAATTTCTATTTAGCCATATGAGAAATTAAATAGCCTTGATAAAATGCATAAAGATTTATAATTTATCTCTAGGTTAATGACCTTAAAATGTAGAAATAATCACAAAGCCATCCTATTGCAATATACTAATATAGACAATAAACTAAGAAGAAATTAATAAATCATAAAAGAAATGGAATATTGACTGTACCAGTAAAATACAGCCAGAAGAAAAGATTATGAGAAATAATAAAGATCAATGGAAGCAATTTTGTAATTGGAAAACAAATGGGATTACATCTTAACCCATTCAACAGCATTTTAAGAGAGTTTTTCTCAGTTCTAAAGTTCTCCATGAGGCTCACTAACCTTTATTGCTTTTCTTGTTGTAACCAGCTATCCGAGCCATAACAATCTCTAGCCACTTGGACAAAGACAGAAGCTGAGCTACCATTTCTGCATCCTCGCTGACAATACAAAAAGACAGCCATGGAATGGGCATGTTTTACACACACGACATCATTTTAAAAACTATTGGGTTATGATGATGATTATTCAAATACGAACTTATCTTGCGGTGGTTGTTCTAGCTATCAAAAATTGGTATTTCCTACAAAGCTGAGAAAGAACTTACACCGGACAATATGTTAATAAAATGCTCATACAGATAGTCCTCGACTTACAACCATTTGTTTAGTGACCGTTCGAAATTACAACAGCACTGAAAAAAGTGACTTAAGATCAATTTTCACACTTATGACGACTGTAACATCCCCATGGTTAGGTCATCAAAATTCAGGTGCTTGGCAAATGGCATGTATTTATGAGAGCTGCACTGTCATGGGGGGGTGTGTGTCATGTGAACATATTTGTAATCTTCCCAGCTGCCTTCCGACAAGCACAGTCAAGGGGGGAAGCCAGATTCACTTAACAACTGCAACAATTCACTTAACAACTGGGACCAAAAAATGGGGCAAAATTCATTTAACAACTACCTTGCTTAGCAACAGAAATTTTGAACTCAGTTGTGGTCGTAAATTGAGGACTATCTGTATAACATAGGAAAGAATCATGTATTTTCCCTATAAATGTAAGAAAAACAGCTGTAGATTAAAATATAAGAAAAAGGAAATACAGTCACATACCTGTTTATCTTCTCTTCTTGCAAAGGAATAATTGGTATCACAGTATTGCACAGGGATTTGCATAGTGGGCAAAGGTACTCGCCATTCCCTAAATCAAAAACCTGTTCAACATGATGACGTTGTCGAGAATTCAGCTGAATGGCTTCAAAGTATCTGAAATGGATATTCAGATGGACATCTCAGAATAAACCACCTAATTCAGACATGTAAACACCCAGTTCTGAAATTTAATTTAAATGGACAATCCCAAATGTTATATAATAGCATGCAAATGTTTGTGTTCTCCTTCATCAGGCAACTTGGTGAAGAACAAAAAAAGAGAGGGGGAGGAGAAGAGAACAAATGTGGGTACCATGGAATTTACAGTTATCTTCACCTTAAGGTCTTGAAACCATAACTCAAGGCAAATTCAGCCATTCTCTTACCCATCCCTTATGTTTAATTCTTTTTAATTTTTTGCCGTATTTATTGTCTTACTTGATGAAGATGAAGATGAAGAAATCTACATCAAAAAGTGAAGCTGAGAGCTATTATGTTAGGTTTGAATTAGCCTATGACATATCTTCCCTTACTCTGGAATATGGAACTAAATCAATAAGTAATTTTTCCTCTGCATTTAGCCTTATATTTCTTTGAGTACATTCCTTGGCTATAAAATGACTGGCACTGATGATGTTACCCAGTTTGGGTAATGAAACATCTGTAAGAAAACAACCAAGCTCAGAGACCACCAAGGGCCTCACATTTCAACCCTGAGCTACAAATATTTTCCCTTTTTTAGTGCTCTTTACTTTCTACTTAGTCAGCATAACATATATATAAGCACCTTAGAAGAGGTAGCCTGAAAACTGACTAAAGATTAAGCAAACAATAAAAATTGTTAAATATATCAACTCACTTCTGCCAGCAAGCAGCATGCATCACATGACCACAAGTGCTGGTATGTGTTCCACATGACAAGTCCGGATCCATGAAAAGAGGATCAGTGTCTTCTGTTGAGGAAAATGAATGAATAAACACACTGTTTCCTTTTGCAATAAGGGATGTTTTGCAAAATGTGCACTAATAAACTTATACATCCAATTCTGGCAAGGAACATCTTTTAGGGAATAAAAAAGAACTTATCGTTTATATTAAATTAAAAGACTAGCAAATGATCTTTTACATTACATGCGATCGATCTGTCTATCTATATTTGTCAATATTTGCCCAGTAAAACTTTAGTCTTTCGTAATTTTAGGATTTTGAGGATTTTTAAAATAAAAGGTAGGATGAGAAGCTATCAATTGGAAGCAAAGATTCTGATAAATAAATTATATGAAGTTTATTTATCCTATATCCCTACGATGTATGATCACGGAGTAGAATTATTGCCATGGATGTTAATAAAACCAAGAAATAGGACTCTTAATATACCTGGGGGGCCCAGGCTTGGGCACACAACCAAGTCTTCATGGCCTTATGAAAGACAAACAGGGTTAAACTGATCCTAATCTCGAAATGGAAAATATTCCAGAGGACAGGGACTACAGCAGAGAAGGCACAATAACAAATTGTTATTCCTTCACTGATGGGACCCATAACATGCCCCACCTGCCAGACTAAATTGGATATATAGAAACAACAGGGAGAAGTCAATCTATTATGTAAGTGGTCTCAAGACATGAAGGATCTTAAAGATGATAACTAGCTTAGTTGTCAAGGAGATAACCATCTTAAAATGCACCTGGAAGCCAGTGCAGCTCACGTAGCAGTGATGTTATGTTTAATATCAGATACCCTTTAGTACTTGTACAGTCGATAGTTGAAGCTTTAGTTGATGAGCAAGGTGTTACAGGAATCCAGGGAAGTCACGAAGGTATGAGAGAGTGTGAGTAAAACCTTCCAATCCAGGAAAGACTCAACCCTAAGGTGTACTAAGGTGCACAAAGGCCCTCCTGGCCACGGCTGCCACCTGCTGTTCTACCCTTGAATCCAAGAGGACCCCCAGAATGTATCTTGGCTCCATCTAGAGCAGTGCCATCCCATCCAGCACTGGCAGTGGAAAAAATTGTCAGTAGAAGGCCCCAAAACCCAAGCCACTCAGTCTTGCTTGGATTGAATCAAAGCCCACTGATGGACCTTGTCTAGACCTTTACAGTACCAAGACAGGACATCCAAGATATTGTTCAGGCAGCCCAGCATGGAGATATAAAACTGGGTATCATCAGTGTATTGATGCTACCTTACCCCAAATTGTTGGATCATATCATCAAGAGGCCTCGTGAAGTTATTAAATAGGAGAGGAGAGAGAACTGAAATTTGAGATCTCTCCTGGATCTCTGTGGCTGGATCTCCCTCCTCTCCATAAAAAAAGACTGGAACTGACCCCAGAGGAAGGAGGGGAACAAGCACAAAACAGTGCTTCTCACTCCCAACTCCCAAAACCAGCCTAGAACAGGGGTGAAATCCAGCAGGTTCTGACAGGTTCTGGAGAACCGGTAGCGGAAATTTTGAGCAGTTCAGAGAACCGGCAAATACCACCTCTAGCTGGCCCCAGAGTGGGAAGGGAATGGAGATTTTGCAATATCCTTCCCCCAGGAGTGGGGAGGGAATGGGGATTTTGCAGTATCCTTCCCCTGGAGTGGGGTGGGAATGGAGATTTTGCAGTAGCCTTTCCCTGCCACGCCCGCCACGCCACACCACACCCACCAAGCCACACCCACAGAACCGATAGTTAAAAAAATCAGATTTCACCACTGGTCTAGAAGGACACCATGGTTGATGGCTAAAAGTGGCTGTGAGGTCAAAAAGAGCAAGTATGGTCACACTGCCCCATCCTGGTCCTGCCAGAAGTCATCTACTGGCACCGTCAATACCATCTCTGTCCCATAACCCAGCCTGAATCCTGACTGGAAAGGGTCTAGACAATCAGCTTCACCCAAGGTCCTCTGCTGCTATAAATTTCCCCAAAAGTTTCACAACGTAATATACATACCTCCTACAAGTTCAAGTTCTTTCCCTCTACATTGGGTTAAGGCAGTGGATTTCTGGATACAGGCAGATAAAACCATGGCAGCGTTTTCTAGCATTACTTCCTGTTCTTCCTGACACAGGATACATGTCAGCCTTTCTTTTTCAGTGACAGACTGGCCTCGCTTGGGCCCCAAGGCAATTCTGACTTGATAATGTGGGAGTATGAACCTAAAGACACAAGATTCAAATCAGTGGATTTTTGGTCAACAATCCAGTCAAAGATCACTACAACCATTATTCGTAATTTAGCTTTAGATAAAAATAAAATTCGCTTTAAAACTATTAAAAATGGATCTATCTTCAACCTGAACTTCAAACGAAAACTTGTTTAATGCAGCACCTATCAAGCAGCTGAACCGAGTGAATCTGAATAGTAATATGAGAGCATTGTAATCACAGAAACCTAATAATGATTGACTGAGTTCTGTGATGAAATAACTTTCTTAATTTAATATTTAAAAACAATTTCCTCACTCTCAGATTTTAAACAAAAGCTTGTTTGTTCAGCCAGCACAAGAAGTAGTACAGAAGTAGATCCTTCCTGATTAAATTAAGACTGATTAAACTTTTATCTTGCAGGGATGGAAGAGCTCATACACTGAAATATGTTCAAAATCTGTGCATGCCACCATGCCCTTCTCTTATGAGCAGATTGAGGCCTGCTCTCAGCTTCTCAGATATAATTGGATGAGGCATTGCCTTGGCAAAAATGCCTCACATTTTAGCACAGATACCACTTGTATTATGGTCTACTCTACAGTTTGTGAAATGCATGAGCTGTGCCAATCTTCTTCCCTGCGAGGAGCTAGTGTCACTTTCCTCTCTCAGGGAATGGTTGACTCTCTCATATTGCCTCTTAAATAATTCAGGTAGTCCTTGACTTATGACCACATTGAGCTCAAAATTTCTGTTGCTAAATGAACCATGTTAACTGAATTTTTGCCCCATTCTATGACTTCTCTTGCCACAGTTGTTAAGTGAATCACTGCAGTTATTAAATTAGTAACATAGCTGTTAAGTGAATCTGGCTTCCCCATTTGACTTTGCTTGTCAGAAGGTCAGAAAAGGTGATCACATGAACCCGGGACACTGCAACCGTCATAAATATGAGTCATTTGCCAAGCATCTGAATTTTGATCATGTGACCATGGGGATGCTGCAATGGTCGTAAGTGTGAAAAATGATCAAAAGTCATTTTTTTTCAGTGCTGCTATAACTTTGAACGGTCACTAAATGAATGGATTATCTGTATTGGAAGGGATCCAAAATGGTACATTACCACAATAAGAGAGCCATTAACAGTGCCCAACTGTGGGAAAGCACAAACTGTCTGTCATGAGGGTCCTTCATTTTTATTTCCCAGTCTAGCCTATAGCCCTGGGTGTCTCCAATCCAAATACTAACCAGGTTCGAACTAACCTGGTTACTAATTTTTGCATTTATCTGATATATTATTCCCTCCTCCTACCTCTCTACTTCCATAGCATCTCTTCCAGATGTTTCTTGCGTGTTGTCATACAAGAGCTTGTGAGTTTCTATGAAATTTTTCTGTAAAGCGGACATCTGAGCCATGATCTTTTGGCGATGTAATCGGGCAACTTCTGCTTTCCTCTTCCTCTCAGCCTTCTCTTTCTCCTGAATTTTCTGCATCTGATTTAACAGAACAAACACCCTGTGTATTATTCAAGACAATCACAGACATAAAATAAAAATTGGCATTTCCTTCTGATAGTCTTGCCAAATCCCCAAACATCTGGCTCTTCCGCCTAAAATGAAAGGTTATGGTCCCAACAAGCCTCAGAGCAATGGTCCCCAACCTTTGTGGCTAGGTGGCCCTGCTGGGTGGGAAGAAGGGAACCAGGCCACACAAGAAGTGGGCCAGCATGCACAGACATGCAGTAGGACTGCACATGCTGCTGCTTGCACGAGTCAAGCTGCGGACATGCACATGTTCATTGCCCCATTGCTCGCGCAGCCTGGTTGTGGGCCATGGCCTCAAAGTTGGGAACCCCTGCCTTAGGGGGAAAAAAGTGCCACAGGCAATTTTCAGGAAAAGGGAAAATACAATTCCACAAACTACAGAGTGGTGATTGCAATTATTATGAGTACAGATAGTCCTCAGTTAATGACCATAATTGGGATCAAAATCTCAATTGTTGAGCAGTCAAGTCATGAGACTGTTTTGCTCAATGACCACAATCTCAGAATCCCCAGCTGCGGTTCTTAAGCAGTCACACAGATTGCTAAGTGAATCCTTTATCCTAGATAAAGAACACAAGGGGGAAGGCACAGAGAAACAGGGAGAGAAGAATTTTACCATAGAGTTAAAATCCTTTTCTCCATCCACTCTGTATCTGCAGAACTTCCAGGTGCTAAAATCCTTTTCTCTCTGTCTCTCAATGCCGTTGTATGAAAAAGATTGCGAATGGTGATCACACAATCATTGGGTGCAACCAGTGATACACATGAATAGGTTGCCAGCACAGGGATTGTGATCACATGACTGCGGTAGGGACAAGCGATATTTTACAACGGCTGGAAGTCTTTATTGGCCATAAAGGATCCTTTCTGAACTATTAAAACTTCCAACAGTCATTAAATGAATGACACATTATACGTTGAGGAATGTCTGCTGGAGGGATGTGCCAGCAACGCATACACTACAAGAAGAAAAAACAAAGTAGAGGAATGAGAACATTTATCATTTCATCTGGTCCTCTATTCATAAAATGCTTAAGAATATAAGGCTACCTTATTTCATGGTTACCTCATTAACTTTTGTAGATTCTGACATGGGTGTAGTGACGGCCATGGGAAAAGAAGACTTCTCTCTCAAGCATTTTATCGTCTCAAACATCTACAAACACAGATTTAATAGTTAAACACAAACTGCATGTAGCACATGTACCGTAATATTTCCAGTTTGCCCTGCAAGAGATGTATGGAGATCCAAAGCATGTCTGCTAGTAACTATTTCAATTTAGCCAATACTATTTCTTCTTATTACTTTTCTTCTGTAGTTGGATCGTAATCATCTTTAATTATTTTACTCCACTTGGGATCTACAGAGACTCTTTTGCCTATTTTATTTTATAGGGAAGGCTATAAGACAGGTCATATTACCCTCAAATCAATTCCTGATTGATTTATTCACTTGTAATCCTTACTTACCCGTAGAACCCAGATGATCATGTCTTTTTGTGATTCCAGTTGTTCAATTCCTTTCAGCTTTTCCAAAATCATAAGGATGTTCATTGCATTCAAAGCAGAGCTTCCCATTCCTTTATGAACAGAAATATTTTTTAAACTAAAACTTAATTAACTTGATTTAACTTTTTTATTAAATCAATCAGCTACATACATTTATTCTCCTAAAGGAGTTGCATTTTCTTCTTTTACTAATAATGGTTAAACTGGTTGCTTTATTCAAAGAGGAGAATGTATTTATGTTTTTTTATTTAAAAATCACTTCTGGATTTTGTGCTTGTGACAAAAAAAAACCCGAAACGTTGACTTTGGTTTTGCCGATTAGATAGTTTTGTTGTTATAGAAATGGTTGGTATATACCAGTGACGGCTAACTTTTTTACCATTGCATGCCAGGAACGGGGGTGGGGGAGGTTCGCGCGTGCATGCCCACACCCATAATTCTATGCGCCCCGCCCCATGCATGTGCGCGCAACCCTCGGTCCTGGCACGCAATAGCCCAGTAGGCCCATTTTTTTTTCTCACCTGGCTCCAGATCCTCTCTATGCATCTGGGGAGAGCGAAAACAGCCTTCCCCACCCCCTCAGAGGCCCTCTGGAGGCCCGAAACGACCCGTATCCCAACTTCCGGTTGGACAGGAAGTGACATTTTTTGCTGTCCCCAGCCTCCAGAGCCTCTCTAGGAGTCTCTTCCTTCATATTTTATACTTGGATAAAACAATAAAAGCCACAAAAACAGTATCTGCATTGAGGTACAAAGAGCTTCCATCATTCCCAGACATGATGGTCATGGCTGGATCTAAGATGACACTGATTTGGGGAAGACTCCATACACTTGATAATAGACAAAAGCCAGCTCTCATATGGAAAATTAAAACTGATACTAGGGAACATCTGTATATGAAAATAAATTAAGATACTTCTGCTGACTGCCTGCAATTTGGCCGTTCGAATCTCACCAGCTCAAGGTTGACTCAGCCTTCCATCCTTCCGAGGTCAGTAAAATGAGGACCCAGTTGTTGGGGGCAATAGGCTAACTCTGTAAACCACTTAGAGAAGGCTGTAAAGCACTACGAAGCGGTAACTCAATTTTTATTTATTGATTAGCCCTTTGGGCCATATCAAGTGCAGAATTACAAAGACAAATCATTACAAAGGTTTGGTAAAACAAATTAAGTAAGATAGGAATAACTCGCAATTAAAATACAATTAGAATAAAATATGATCTAAAATAAAATCGGGATAAAATACAATAATTTAAAGTACCATTTAAATATAATTAAAATTATATTATAATGTCGCCCCTACATCTACCCAATCAGTGTTAACTGCTATTAAAATTACATTGTTAGATCAAGTGATCATTCTTACAATCTACCGCATTTTGCTGCACCAACTTTGTCCTCCTTCCCATCAACTTTACCACAAATTTAGCAATCCATTTTACCAACTGCAAGTTGGAACCTAACAAACAATATCGCAAAAAGTGCTCTTTAGACTTAGGGGTGCTGGTATAAAAGATCCTGCCCAGTTGATGTTCCCTCAGGTCTGAATATAGGGGGCAATCAAAAATTACGTGGGACGTTGTTTCGACTTCCCCCGTCCCACATAGACAGACCCTTTCCCTTACAGGAATACTCTTATATCTACCCCAGAGCATATTTGTTCCAAGTTGGTCCAACCTCAATTTTGTAAAGAATCTTCTCAGGACGGGAAACAAAGGCACAGCTAAATATTTTTCTATTTTGAAAATTTGTTTATTGGCTGATAACCAGGGGCAAACTTTTACTGCTGTCACCTGTGCAATATCCGATTGGGCACTTATGTCCTTAAATCTCTGTGCAATCCAATTTCGGATCTGCCTATAGTCGTACTGCTGCCAATTTAAAGGGATACCAGAGCTAGATACCTGCTTCAGAACTCTTGATAACCAATTATTTTTATTACTTGAGATAATCTGCTCCATTAGCGCTAATTTTGGTAACCTCCCTTCCTCCATTTTGATTATTCTCAACCAATAATAAACAGTCTTCAACAAGGCCCTAGTGCCAGTCGCATGGACTCCTGTTTCTGCCCTTACTACACTTGCTGGGGTTCCGGGGGACACTGCCAAAATTCTCCTCAGGAACTTATTTTGAGGGGTTTCCAGCCCAGGCAGCTTAACTGACCCCCATATTTCTGCCCCATAGGTAAGTATTGGTTCGATTTTCGCCTGGAAGACCTTTAGCACTGGGATTAATGAAGATGGAGTTTTCTCTAAAATAAGTTTGTTTAATTGAGCTATCCGAGCCATGGCCTTCCGAGCTCCGGCTTTTACCTGCTTATTCCATTTGCCATTTGTCTGAAATACTAGCCCTAAATAGGTAAATGACTGAATTTGTTCTATTCTTCTGTCATTTAGAACCCATCTCCTTATATTTTGTTGCCTGCTAAATATCATTACCTTTGATTTCTCTATATTAATTGTCAGGCAATTTTTTATACAATATGCTGCCAACCTCCCAAGTGACCTTCGTAGCCCCACCTGTGAGGCCGACAACAAAATTATATCATCGGCATATAACAAGCAATTGACCTGTCTTGTTCCTATACTAGGCCCATGGAGTGATGTATCTTCCAGACATTTTGGGAGGTCATTTAAATATAAGTTAAAAAGTGTTGGGGCTAAAGTGCAACCTTGTCTGACGCCCTTTTTTAATGGGATTGCATTTGTTACCGATCCTGACCTATTCACTCGAACTCTTACTTGGGTTTCCGTGTATAACAGTCGAATTAAATATAACAATTTCTTTTCTATTCCCATAGCCTCTAATTTATCCCATAAAATTTTTCTATCAATTGTATCAAAGGCTGCCTTCAAATCTATGAATGCCACATACAGAGGTTTTTCCAAGACTTAAACTTTGTTATTAGATGGTCCAGCACAAAACAATTATCCATAGTAGATCTTCCGCTCCTGAAACCTGACTGCTTCTTCAGCTAAAATGTTATTTCTCATTATCCAATCCTCTAATTTATGAAGCAAGTGCTTAGCATAAATTTTTGCTGAAATATCGATTAGACTAATTAATCGAAAATTATCTGGGTTATCTCTAGAGCCTTTTTTATGTAAGGGGATAATTATTGATGAACGCCAACTAGCAGGAATTTGCCCTGTTCTATTGATAAAAGTAAAGAGACCTGCCAGGACGGGCGCCCACCAGGCTATGTTATCTTTAAATAACGAAGCCGGGAGTGCATCCTGTCCTGGAGCTTTGTTTGTCTTCAGGGAGGAGATTAAACTCCTCACCTCCGTGATTGACACTTCTTCCCACTGCGGTAGGGCTTCATATTCCTGTATCAAGCTCGGAGAGGATATGAGCTCATCAGAGCTATCCGCTGCTGCTGGCGTGGCCAAATGCTTCTCCCATCTTTCTGCACTAATGTTTGGGTTACTTATTAGTTTTCTATCTCTAATAATTTTTGAGACCTCCAACCAGAATAGTGTGGGTGAGGCCAGCTTTGCTGCCTGTTCTAGACCAGCCCATAAGTTGTTGATATAGGAGGCCTTTTTTCTCTTCAGTAGCTGCTTATATTTCTGCCTTATGGTAATATACTCCTTCTGTAGTTCCATGTTTGGGCTGCTTAAGTATCTCCTAAGTGATTTCCTAAGCTGTTTTTTATTTTCCTTACAGTCATTGTCAAACCATGTTGAGTTACTAGAATCAGACTGGCCCATTGGCTTGGTAGTCATGGAAAAATGCTTCAATTTATGGCATATTTCCGCAAAACAAACTATAGGCTCTTGTTCACCCGTACTGTTTGCGCATATATGTGCTAAGGCTTCCATACATGGTGAAATCATGAATTCAGTCACTGCTTTGCTATCAACCCTCTTCCATGTTAATCTTCTCTCTTGGGCTATTTCTAAGTTGAGGCCTATTTGTTGGATTGTTTGATTCCTTTTCCTTAAATCTGAAGGGATTGCCAGGGACGTCGCAATCGGAAGGTGATCACTTTCTGGCCTTGGTAACGTCAAGACCGAAGTTGCCCCTGCTACTAGGCTGTGAGAGATACAAAAATAATCAATAGAACTACATGCCTTGGGGCCAAAAAAAGTTATGGGGTACCTTCTGAGCTCCAAGTACTGGCCTACAATTTGGAGGTTACAGTTGTATACCATTGTTAGAAATTTCCCCCCATCTTTGTTCTTTTTCCTGTCTTGGGAGACCCATGATTGTTGGTTATGTAAATATCCCTCTGGAATTGTACCGTTTTCAATAAAAGGTTCCAACGAGGGACCCACACACGCATTAAAGTCTCCTGCCAAAATTAGAGGTGTTTTTGTGAATTTTTTCCGTATATCTAATATTTTTACCTCTAGAGCCTCCCACAAATCCCCCATTGCTGGGTTGATGTACACATTTGCAAATATCATTGACTTCCCTTCATATACCAAATGGATTGCTTGAAAAAATAGAGGGCCATCCTCCAAGCATATCTCGCTTCCCTTCCATCCTAGTTCGGCTTTTACCAAGATGCCCAATCCTCCAGAGGCTCTTCCTTTTTTAGCTACTCTCTTTGCTGGCAGCTGCCAAATATTAATGAGGACCCAGTTGTTGGGGGCAATAGGCTGACTCTGTAAACCACTTAGAGAAGGCTGTAAAGCACTACGAAGCGGTATATAAGTCTAAATGCTATTACTGTTGCTAATATAACGCTTATGCAATATATAAATTCACTGTGGTGCCCCGTTATATTCATCTGCTGATACTCTGTGAATTAACACATTATTGCTAAATATAGATTTTCTTTTTCAAGGTGGCACACTTACTGGAAGCTTTATGATAGAAGTCAAAGGTCACTTCTTCCTCTGGAATCTCCTCTAACTGACGCTTCTCTTCAAGTAAACCCAAAGAAAGGAGGTGAAGGACCTATGTAGAGACAGGTAGCAAATTTAATCCTTCAGAGTAATGGAATATTCTCTAATAGCCAGGTAAGTGTTCTAGCCAATCTTAGCCAGGACCATCTTTTAGGATGGAAATGAACACCAGCCTGCATTTGGATGGTGAGATACACTGCAATTAAACAAGTACCCAAAGCCAGCCTGTCACAAGAGGACGTGAAGGGATGTAGACTGGGCCATGGGAATGCAGAAGAAACAACGTGTTAAGGGGGAGAGAGTTAGAAAAGATTAATCAATCCTGAGAAAGAAGAAAGAAGGAAAGAGAAATTGAAAATTAACCCTTGATTATGTTTGGCATAAGGATGCGGTGCTCAGTGGCTAAGACACTGAGCTTGTCGATCGAAAGGTCAGCAGTTCAGCGGTTCAAATCCCTAGTGCCGCGTAACAGAGTGAGCTCCCATTACTTGTCCCAGCTTCTGCCAACCTAGCAGTTCAAAAGCATGTAAAAAATGCAAGTAGAAAGATAGGGACCACCTTTGGTGGGAAGGAAACAGCGTTCCATGCGCCTTTGGCATTTAGTCATGCCGGCCACATGACCACGGAGACGTCTTCGGACAGCGCTGGCTCTTCGGCTTTGAAACGGAGATGAGCACTGCCCCCTAGAGTCGGGAACGACTAGCATATATGTGCGAGGGGGACCTTTACCTTTACCTATACTGTTTAGTATAAGGTGAGGTAGACAGAAGCTCTGACTATCCCTTGATATTAAAGAACATTTCTGGATTCCCTGCAGTGCTGGTATTTGACACCAGAAAGATAAAATAAGCAAATGAACTGCCAAATATGGAAGTTTTTCAAAATGCTGCTGGATTGCCTAGGTTCATGTAAATGTAAGATGTGTAAGAACACTGATGAAAAAGCACACAATCCCCTAATCCAAGCAATACCATACGAAGAGAAGGTTGGTAAAATTCTCCTGAGTAAATTATTGGCTTTCTGGTGTCTAATACTAAAACACTGCTCAACTATTTGGATGTCTACCATAGTACTAATGGAAACAGAGATAAGAGAAAAGAGCCATATCTTTCAAGTATATGCATTAAAATTGAGTATGCCTCCTTCTACCTGCTGATCAATATACATACAAATTTAAAAGTTTTAATTTTATAATTAAAAAATTGAAGATAGTCATGATCTCTTTCATTAATTATCGCTGATGTACAAATGAATAGGTTAATAGGGGAACTGGGGGAGGGAAAAAGAGGAGATTTTTATAATTCAAAAAATGGAGAGTCATGATCACTTTCATGAATTATCCCTGATATACAAATACGTTATTGTATGTATGCTGATAAAGCCGATATCAAGAATCGTTTTGAAATAAATAAAATGCTAAGGCAAATATAGGTCTCCAAAAGCCCACATGCTTACAGATATATGGAGTTAGGAATCATTTGAAATAGCACATACAAATGAATTTGAAAAATATATACAGGAAATCCCAAAAAGTATTTAAGATAAAGATATTGCTAAAAGATGGTCTCACACAAGCCAGGGCTGACAAACATACCATCTGTATCATAGCTTCTGTCCACATGTGATTTTCCAGCTCTAGTGCTCTTTGCAGGATAGTTCTAAGAATAAGCATCATGATATCACAGTTGAGAACATTCACCACATTTCTGAAAGCAGGACTGAATTCTGGAGGTGTAGGTGGTGGGAGTGCTACAAAAATGCAGACATATATTAGTGCATTACTGCCTACCCATCTTACGGTATTATGAATGAAAGAAGTTTAAGCTTTCAGATTTGGCTGAATCGATGAATTAATATATAGCCAGGTATGAAATAGAAATTACTCTTATGAGAAGACAAAATCAATTGTACATACTTTCTCTTATACAGTGTTTTGTGAGACATATGAACATTCCTAGATCTGGGGGCCTTTCAGACAGTCACTCATGCCCTAGTCACATTGCACTTTGACTATTGCTGTGTTATCTGCTTTGCCTGTGTGTGTGTGCGCGCGTGTACACTGGCTGTGTAATAATTTGTCTTGCCATGTCTCTTTTCTATTCTTCATTTGGTCCTTCTTGTAAGCCACTTGAAGCCCTCATCGTATACTAGCTTCAGTACATCTATTTCATTGTCCTTCAGATATTCTTCCAATGCCATTTTATTTTCTTCAACTATCTGGTGCACTTCCAACATTCCATACCCACCTATGCTCCTGGTTAAGTAGAATCTGTCAACATCGCTATGGATGAAGGACCTGATTCACTGTCATTATTTTTCTGGTCTTCCTATCCAGGGGTTTTAGTTCTGCTTAAATCCAGTCCATTATTCCAGCTGTGTATCTAATGACTGGAATTGCCCAGGTGTTATTTGCCTTGATGCTATTTCCTCTACTGACTTTGGACTTTAAAACCCTCTTCACACTCTTCTTTGAGGGAAATAGGTGATTCAGGAATGAGATAGATAGATAGATAGATAGATAGATAGATAGATAGATAGATAGATAGATAAATAGATAGAGAGATAGAGAGGGAGGGAGGGAGGGAGAGGGAGTTGGGGGGGGGAGAGAGAGAGAGAGAGAGAGAGATGATAGAGATAAAGAATCATCCAGATTTTATTGCATCTTGACTCTCATCAATCTTAGCTCTGCCAGGAGAACTGATTGGAGTTGTAGTCTAATCATATCTGTAAGGCCATTCCTTCTTTAGAGTAATTTATAGATATTTCTGGAAACTACCCTGTTTTCCCCAAAATAAGACATCTCCTTATAATAAGCCCAATCGGGCTTTTGAGTGCATGTGCTAAAATAAGCCTCCCCCTGAAAATAAACCCTCCCTGAAAATATTTAAATGCAGAGGTGGAAATCAGGTAAGATGGCAAGAGGAGCCCTATCTTGCTCCACGCGCCCCAAAATAATAAGACCTCCCCAAAAATAAGGCCAAGCACTTATTTCGGGATTCAAAAAGTATAAGACAAGGTCTTATTTTCGGGGGAAACATGGTAATAGGCTATAATTTTAGCCAGAACTCATCCGCTCTTACAATATATTAATCTTTGTTTATATTTTGCATACATCTAAATAAATCCTTGCACAGTAAAACTATAGGACCAAAACAATGGCTTGGAATGCAGCATAATTAACAGAGGAATTATTTGAGGGACTATTCTCCTCGATTATGTCTACCTGTCCAGCGGAAAAGGCATGTTCTGAGTCCTAAATGTTACAGAACAACATTTGTCAGGGCTCAAAAAGATCACCTTCTCTGTTATGGTGTCTGCCCTTTCGAACATCATCCTGTCAGAGATTACATTGGCTCCAATCCTGCTGGTTTTTCGTAAGGCCTTAAAGATGTGGTTCTGCCACTAGGCTTGGGAATCCAGATGTATGGTAGAGCCTGTGTAGTGGCCATGAAAGTTGTTCCTGTTGGTTTTTGTATTGGAGTTACTAATTGTGTTTGATAGCTTTTTTATGATTTGTGTGTACATGTGTATTCAATATAAACTATATTAATAGTTTTTTAAATTGTTGCTTTGTTTTTAGCCCAAAGTCATGTATTTGAGATGGGCAGCTACACAGATGGAATAAATAAATAAATACTTAAGGCTATTAATCATGTTGGTGACAGTGCTCATAATTCCTATCTAATGGGAATGTAAACACTCCAATTTCAGCCTAATAGCTATACTTCAACATCTAATGAACTCACAAACCCTCCATGATCACTCTAAACTCAGCCAGAAATGGAGAAATCATAAGAGCTATACTACAAAGTCATAAGGTTTATTGCTACAAAAGTAAACAAAGGATGAGATATAAAATTTTAAGCCTCCCAGTTTCTGGCTGATAGCAAATAATTCAGAATCAAGTGGTTTAATTAATTCCACATCATCACTAGAATGATAATTGCCAATTTCATACACAGTAAATAGCTACATCAACGATCCCTCCATTTTATTTCATAATACTACTGTGTTTACCTTCATCTTTATTTTCTTGTACTCTTCTTTTCTTTTCCATATGTTCAGCCTGTAAAATGAATCACTTAATTTGCTTTCTATATATCGACATGTAAATGATGTGAATCTACTAAAAGCACTTATGAACAATTAAGTCCAAAAAAGGGACTAGATCAGGGGTGTCAAACTCAAAGCCTGCAGGCCAAGTCCAGTCCGCAATGTGGTCAGATCTGGCCTGCACGGTCATCCTGGAAACTCTAAGGGGCTGGCCCATGTTGCTTTGGCCTGGCCCATGCCATTCGGATGGGCGCGTGTGCGCACAGGTGGCGGGCACATGCGTACACAGCCCCAGCCCATGCCATCCCGGCAGGCATACATGCGCACAGAAGGCAGAAGGCTCATGCGTGCCTGCCGGGATGGTGTGGGCCAGGCCTGTGAGCACAGGAGGCGTTGGGCCAGTGTCCCCTCAGCCCAGCCCAGCCCATCTTAGTGTGGATGCCACCAGGTTGCAGATAAGCGCAGTGCCTGCATCTCCGGCATTACAGGTGTGTGTGTGTGTATGAGAGAGAGAGAGAGAGCGTATGGGGGGGAGCTGTCCGGCAGCAGGGGCTCAAATCAACACCCCTAGACTAAAGAAGCAACTTAAAGCAAGAAAAATAATACAAATTGCCGCCTTCCTATTTTTACAAATTTAACATTTTCTTTGGAAGCCATGTAGTTTGTTGTTTATACATCTAAGCTGGGGATAAAAGGCAAAAATTAGGACCAATGCAATTAAATTGTTGAATTTCAGTAATAAGGTCAAGGCTTGTGGCACTATAAAAAAATCAAGGACAGGTGTCACATGCGGGCCACCTATGTTGCCCACCACTGATGAGCTAAAGAAATCTTAAAACCGAAATTGTAGACAGTATATTGTTTTTGCTATTCACTTTGACTATTTAGGAAAAAATCTGAAAAATCCCTGGAAAATTCCTTTTATATAATATTATATTCTAATATATTTAAAACCGTCCTTGTATTATCTTTAAGTTGCCTCATTGGAAGAAAGCCATTCTGATCGGCGTGGATAATTCAATTCAATATTTTTTTCATCCTTCCTGCCATAATGGTCATAAAGATCTTGTAGTCAGTATTCAAAAGAGAAATTGGTCTATAGTTTTGAATTCTATGGCTATTATTGTGAACCACAGAGGTCATTTTGGATATGGTAATATAGAAAAACTGTAACTAAGCAAAGAAATAAAATATGATTTTCAGTGATAAAACATATCTTTTATTTCACAATGATTTTAATAAGCATTCTTCCTTCTTTGCCTCTTGCTTAACAAACCTACTCAAGTTGTAGAAGAAATCCATGTCAATGTCCTAACTTCATATTTCCATGAAATGCTTTCTTACCTTATTGTGCTGAGTCTTGGTATAATGGTAAAAAAATACATTGTACTCCTTGAGGCATTCTTCCTTCAATTCATAAACTCCATGGCTTGACACACCAGGTTTTCTTTAGTTAAATAAAAAAGTTTATTTTCAATCAAATTGCCATTATTTAACAATGACTTATAATTTTAAAAAGTATTCATTTAAAAGGAGTACTTACTTGAACAAGGCCACTTTGTGAATCACCTTCTCCAAACCAGTCTCATTGTTTTCCTGTTAAGACATGCACCACGCAAAATGTTAGCAAAATGGGGGGATGAAAATAGTAAATTTAAAACAAATCAAGAGAGCGGCACATCCAAATTACAACCATTTGTGTTGAGAAGCAAACTAGATTCTCATCAGGCTTACATATTGTATTGGCTGATGAATCATGCGATTATGTTTTCTGATACTTCTCTCTCTTCACAATAATCCCCTTCTAGTTCCTATCAAGGAAATAATACACATGAAATAGGCTGAGAGGGAATCCTGAAATGCAGAGGTTTTTTGTTTTTTTTTTGGTATATGGATAATTATCAGTTAACAATGGCAATTGGGACCAGAATTGCTACTGCTAAGTAAAGTGGTTGTAAATAGCAATAGTGTTTAGACTTATATACCGCTTCACTGTGTTTTACAGCCCTCTCTAAGTGGTTTACAGAGTCAGCATATTGCCCCCAACAGTCTGGATCGTCATTTTACCAACCTCAGAAGGATGGAAGGCTGAATCAACCTTGAGCCGGTCAGGATCGAACCCTTGGCAGTCAGCAGAATTAGCCTGCAATATTGCATTCTAACCACTGTCTCACCGCGTCTCCACTGCACTACCATGGTAAAGCACCACATCATGTGCCCACGCTGTTTAGAATTGGCAATCCCAACATCCCAGTTGCTGTTTTAAAGCAAATCACCGAGGGTTGTTGATGTCAGAGGTAGCAAATGGTGACCACGTCATTGTAGGATTCTGCAACGCTGTCACTGCAAACTGCAAGGTTGTCAGCTCTACCTAAGGTTGTTTCTGCAGAGATATATGTATCTAGCCTATAGACGGAATATATTTCTGATTATCTTTGATGATTAAACGGTGGCTTGGCAATTTCAAGAGTGCAGCATTTGTTGATTGGGCTATAGCCATTTCACCTCTGAAACATGCTGGGATAAAGAGAATCAAGAGATTCTACTGGATTCAGAACAGAACACAGAGGACCTTGCCTTCCTCATGCTGGATGCTAGATTCTGATTTTCTTCTGAATGGGGATTGGGAATGGATTTGGATGTGGAATATGAGTGTGGTGTTTTGCAACTAGAGATAGTCCTCATTATGCGGTCACATTTGAAACCAGCAATTGTTAAGTGAGCAGTGAAACACTCCAATTTTACAACTGTATTTCAGTTTCCTTTGCTGTACAGACCTGCTAAAGTCTAAGACCCCTAAAGTTATTTTTTCATCACCATCATAACCGCTAATGGACACTAAACAAGACAGACACTAAACAAGAACCACTTGTACTAAGGTCAGAATAATATTATGGTAAGAATATATAAGAAAGGAAACAAATCATTCACTCTTAAGGAAAAAGGATATTGTATTTGAAGAAATAATTATACGTTTCCTGCTTTTTGATGAAAAAGTCTTCTCTCTGGATATTATTCCATATAGGTCAGTGTTTCTCAACCTTGGAAGCTTGAAGATTCTGGGAGTTGAAGTCCACCCATCTTCAAGCTTCCAAGGTTGAGAAACACTGATATAGGTGGTCCCCATTTAGCAACACAATTGGGATGGGCAACACTGTCACTATATGCCTTGGTCACTAAATGGAAAATCATGTGGCTTTGGCAGACTTACATCACATCCCATTTGGTCTTTAAGTGAGTCACTGTGATCATTAAATGAGTTGTCATGTGACTATAACTTTACTCCCACGTTCTTTATTAACTCTGCTTGTTGCTAGCTAGCTGGGAAGCACAGAAATGGTGATCACATCGCTGGCCCATTGCCAGTCATAAATGCTTGCTGATAAAGAAGCACTCAAATAGTGATCACATGACCGTGGGATGCTGCCATTGCTGTGAATTCAAGTATTGGTCACAAAGCTGGTTCGTTTTACAATGTTGTAACTTTAAACAGTCGCGGCACTTGGTAAATGAGGACTGCCTATACCAGTGTTTCTCAACCATGGTAGCTTGAAGATGGGTGGCTGGGGGATTCTGGGAGTTGAAGTCCACCCATCTTCAAATTTCCAAGGTTGAGAAACACTGGCCTATACTGTTGTGGCCTGTGCGGATTGTTGCTGATCCCAACGACGAGGAGGCTGGTGTGGTCTGCGCCGGCAGCCTGTGCAGCCGGCACTCGAGTCGGACAATGAGGAGGCTGAAGAAGATGTGGTGCCAGAGGCAGGGATTCAGTCAGGGCCTTCAGAACTTCCAGAGGCTCCTTTAAGTACAGAGGATGAAGAAGAGGAGCCTCTTCTCAATGCACAGGCAAGCAGAGCTGCCAAAAGGCAGAAGTGGTTCCTCAGGAGGAGTAAGGCTTGGGGCTAATTGGCCAGTCCCTTAGCCTATTTAGAAAAGAACGCAGCTTGCAACAAGCTGCAGGAAACAACTTTAGTTCGCTAATCATCGCACTGGGATTTCTCTGCAACCTGGTTTCTGGGCTTTCTGCCAACTCCAGTAAGACTCTGACTATCTCATCTGTGGAATTCCAGCAGGCTGTTAAGAACGCTTATTAACAGCCGGCATTTGCTAAAACTGCGTTATTTGAGTAAACTAAGTTTTGTTCAGAGTTTGTGTGTGCTGTGTTCTTTCGAATCCGTAGCTGGGGCAGAAGATATACCTATAAGTGAGAATGATTCCATTGAGAGAAAATAACCTACATCTAGAAGTATTCATGCTAATTCATGTATCTGGCAGGATGCTACAAACGCAGCAACAATTCAAGGATACCACAGAGCAAAAATAAAGTGATAAACTCCCTTGATTCTAAAATAAAATCAAACTTCTTTTGAAATTTTCACAAATAAATCATAGCCAGTCATAACCAAGTCTACTTTTCTTCATGCGGCCTCCATGTTGCAAAATTACATGTAAAAACATCAGTGGTACACACATGTAGCCGTGAAACTCTGCGTGAATATGATCCCAATTGGTGTTCCTTCTTTGAAAAGAGCTAATTTATTATTACTGTTGCTCTTTATCATTTTGATTTCTATTATTGCTTTTATAATGTCAATGTATTATAGCCCCACCAAAGCCTTTTGAACTGGACAGGCTATAAAATCTGTAAAATGAAGATGCGCATGTAAAATGTGCACAGAGTACAGACATACAGCTGGGACTGACTGTAATAATCACTAAAAAACAAAAGATTTGAGCAGGCATCTTTAAACAACTGTCAAAAGAAAAGTAAATGATAGGCCTTAATGACCTAATTGGGACTGGATTGCAAAGCATTGACAGCCGCTGTCTTTGTCCAGGGAGCTGCCACCTGTACCACTGCCCTGCCTCTTCTACATACTCTTCCCTACTGCTACTTCCCAGCCAGCTCCTTTCAGTAGACAAGGCTTTGCCAAGCCTCTCATGTGTGTATCTCAGGGCTGGGACCTCACTCATTACTTGGATCTGGGGCCAGCAGGAAAAAGACAACAGTCAAGGTGGTTGACTGGGTGGTGTTCCCATGTAACACCTCTCCTGCGCACGCTGCACTGGCTCCCGGTGGTCTTCCGGGTGCGCTTCAAGGTTTTGGTTATCACCCTTAGAGCGCTCCATGGCTTAGGACCTGGTTATTTACGGGACCGCCTGCTACCACCAAGAGCCTCCCACCGGCCGGTACGCTCTCATAGAGAGGGGCTCCTCCGGGTGCCGTCGGCCAAACAATGTCGACTGGCAGCCCCCAGGGGGAGAGCCTTCTCTGTGGGGGCACCTACTATCTGGAATGAGCTCCCCCCGGAGATATGGAGGATCCCGGATCTGCACACCTTCCGTCGCGCTCTCAAGACTTTTTTATTCCATCAAGCCGGCCTGGCCTAAATCTTTCCCCTTTAAAATGTAAATTTTAATTTGTTTTTAAAATTATTGGGTGTTTTAAATTTGTCTCGGCCAAATTGTTTAATTCAGTTTTATTCTGTTTTTAAATTTTGTATTTATGTGTTTTTATTCTGTGGCTGTTCACCGCCCTGAGTCCTTCGGGAGTAGGGCGGTATACAAATCCAATAAATGAAAATGAAATGAAATGAAAGGTCAGCTAGTGGCAGAGGAGGTAGGCAGAGGAGTGCAGAGCAATCAAAAGGACAGAGATGGGGGGTGGGAGTTGAAACACACTGTGGTTGTAAATGTTGGCCAATTGCCAACCACCAAAATTTTGACACTATAAGTATGAGGACTGGTGGTAACTACCATTTGTTCCACACTGTTATAACTTTGAGCAGTCACTGAATGAATGGTTGTTAGGCAAGGACTGCCTTGTTTATAGAATATATAAGAGAGGCAAAGAAAAGAAATTACTCACATCTTTAGGCAAAGATTTTGCAATAGCACTATGTGCCATTGGCTCAATACACAGCAGATGGATAATTTCTCGCATTGTCACATAATCTTTTGTCACATTACTTACTCCTGGGACATATCTTTCTCCTAATAAAGAACACAAAAAAAAATATACAAGGGATTAATACAAATACACAGGCACAAAAATAATGGAGTGCACTCATATATTGAAGGAATCATGCTGTAAGACCAAAAATAGAGGAACAGTTTTTCACAACTGGCATAAAATGCTCCAAAACTTTGAACAAATCATAACAAGTTCTGGAATACAACAGAGAGAAGCTGTCTTGCATTTTGCTATTTTTCGTGCAAAAAATCTGTCACCTAGTGGTTTTTCTTTTCTTTTGTCAGTTGACTCTTTTTCTCTTCTGTAATAATCTCATGACAGGAAAGGCTGGTTCTTTATATAAGTGCAGTTCTCCAAACTAGTTGTGAATACAGCACTTCACAAGATGTACAATGTGCCAGATAAACCCTTAATTGGAATCAATTAACCATACACTGATAGTGTCAGGCACACTTAATAATATTGTTAAATCAATGGTCTAGATAATCATATTGTGCCACAGTACTTGGTCAATAGTAATTGTGGTTGCAAATACTGAACCTAAATTTTAGTGATGCGCAGCTGGTTCAATAGGCTTAATAAGTTTATTTTTTTCTATTTTCAATCACACTTTTTTTATACATAGCAAAAACGATCCCAAAAAGAAAATATAGGTAGTCCTCAACTTACGACAACAATTGAGCCCAGAATTTATGTTGCTAAGTGAGAAATTTGTTAGGTGAATTTTGTCCCATATTACAACTTTTCTTGCCACATTTGTTAAGTGAATCACTGCAGTTGTTAAATTAGTAACACGATTGTTAAGCAAATCTGGCTTTCCCATTGACTTTGCTTGTCAGAAGGTCACAAAAGATGATCACATGACCATGGGACACTGAAACTGTCATAAATATGAACAAATTGTCAAGCATTTGTATGTAAATCACATACAATGACCATTGTACGTGACCATTGGGGACGCTGCAAAGGTTGTAAGTGTGAAAAATGGTCATAAGTCACTTTTCTCAGTGTTGTAATTTTGAACGGTTACTAAATGAATTGTGGTAAGTTGAGGACTAGCTGTATCCTCATCTTTTCTAAAAACTTTCTTACCTACAACATAGATGAGTACTTGAAGCATTTCTTCTATCAATGTGTTACATTTTTTATTGAAATCCTGTAAGATTAAAACAAATCGCATTCTTGAAACATGATTAATTGAAATAATATAGAACTATTTATAGATCACTCATCAAACAAATTCAAATTTTGAATTTCATGTCATCTAATGATGTTGCAAGCTGCAGCAGGAGACCTTGGGGGCGAGGGCAGTGTGTGTTTGTGTGTCAACCAAAAAGTGTGTTTTGAATATGAAATAAATACATAGATATAGTATAGATATATACATAGTATTATCCCATGCATTTTGGTAGAAAAATATCATGTTTGGTCTATTCCGGTTCTGGCAGACAAACATGGTATACATGAAGTTTGTATGGATTACTACATAACTTGGTTTTCAACAGTAAAATGAACATAATAGTCTGTTTACCTGGTGTTTAGTTGGCACTGTCTTCTTGAAGGCATTAAGCAGTTCATACCGTTTGAGGACAAGCAAAAGAAAACTATTTGGATCCATAAATGCTGCCCCAATCTATGAGATATAAATATTATAAACAATACTAAAAAATAAGAAAATAACAGATATACAAGAAGCAGCTACTTACAAGATTAAAGATATAGTCACCTGCAAGAGAATTATGTCCTTATCATACATTTCTTCTCTACATTTAACATCCTGATAATAAAACATCTGAAAGAAAAAAAAGTTAAATACTTTCATGCATAGAGTTTAGCTTTCATTTTTATAAACATAGAATTAGAATTTCAGTTAAAAAATGTCCAAAATAATTACAATACAAATTCTCAGCACCTGAAATTGGACAAAAGGAAGCTGGTTTCAAGACAAGAGTTAGAATCAGTTATCTCCAGAAAATGATCTCTATCTATTCTCTCACAATCTGTGCCAAATAATATCTCCCACTTTCTCAGTGAATAGCTTCTTATGAGGAAATGTTTGGAAACCAACCCACAAGCTCGAAGAATGAACCCTCATAGTTTTTTGTATTGCAGAAAGATTAGGGGACAGCTTGATTACAGGTCATCCTCAATTTATGACTTATATTTGTAAAAACAAATACATTCATGGTCATTTGGAGAATACCTGGCTGATTAGAGACAGTCCATTCCTCTTCCACATTTCTGCAGCAACCTGAGCAACCAATGCTAGGCAGCGCAAAGGATATTCTACCAACAGCTGCACTTGGAATTCTTTCTAAAAATAATGCAGAAAATATTATTTTAAAAACAATTATAATTTGCATAATTAATCATAGACAGCTGCTAAACTACTGCAAACCAATAACCTTCCTGCTGAAGATGCCTTGTGGATTGGAAAATTACCTCAAAAATAGCCGAAGATTATTTTCCCTTCCCCCAAACTCAACAGGACTAGATAACACAACCACATGCCGCACAGGCCTCTCAGATTTTCCTAGCTTTTTGACCACAACAGTAGTTCTTAACAACTGGTCTTTTGTGACAAAAATGCACAGTAAACATCAGGCTGCTGTTTCTTGGCCTTTGGTTAATTACAATTTTGCATGCCACAAGTCATTGTTTTGTTTGCAATGCTATTTAAAATTTAAAAGAAATGATACATAATGTCATCAGTGAATTTAGTTGTCATCAATGTACTTATTCACCCCCTTCAATAGGTACTATTCACCACTTATATCTAGAGCCAGTGCCTAAGTGCAAGCCTATACTGAATTAGGAAAACAAAAACCGTATCCCGGTAAAATAAGATTCAATGAAAAATGAAGTTTAAGTTTCGTGGATCTATTTCAAACCCACAGGGGAAGGATTACATTTTCTCTGCAGAAAGATATATATTGTACAAGGATGCTTGTCAGTTCACCTCTCTCATTAAAGGCAAAAGCAGCTAACTGCCTATTAGCAGTTAGCTGCCTATTAGTTCCTTAACCATAACACATGGATTACACTGGTTTACAATGTAGGATAATTTGAAGACTGGACCTCTACTTTGTAACTCTAGTTAAAACAGCCTATGAACCCAGTGTGGAATGCAGAATTAGTCCTTTATTAATAGCTCATTACTATTCTATATTTTTTTAGCATTTTTCCTTCAAATAACTCAAAGCAGAGCATACTCTACTTCGTCCTTCAACTGTATCCAATTGTATTACTAGAACAAAGAAGAGTAAAAGTCAGCAATTGGCTGCAATAAGTTTTATATCTAGATAGTGAATTTAAACTGAAATATGAACAAAAAGATCTAACCACTCCACCTGACTGAACTGCAAAAGATACTTACCGATGAAAAAAACTCTTCGAGTCTTGAAATTATTCCAGTTTTGCTCAGCTGTATATGCAGACCTAGAAAAGATATTACCAGAGATTTTACTTTCGATTAAGGGGGAGATAAAAGACCTATTGGTTATCACTGTGCATTTCAAAATTACTTATATGCAAGGTTTTTCATATCAAATATACATTTGCCAGCAAGTGATTAAGAATGTGGCACCAATTAAGAAGAAAAACATTTTAAAGACTACATCCAGGGGAATATTAAAATGTTAATAATAAAATTGTGAACATATATAAGGATATATATGATACACGCACACACATGGATGGATAGATGAAAGGAGATAAATATTTCCCCCCCACAAAATACACACTTAATGAATTTTAATTATTTGGCACTTAAGCTCTATTAATCGCATTTATAGGGGTCAAGCAGCCAATAATATACATGATAACAAATATACTTAAATATAACCTACATTTGAGAAATCCAAAGCCTCATTTTTATCAAATCTGACCAGACTTTAAAAGGGAAAATCAATTGTCAGCAATTATTAACCAACAGACACTTACCAGCTAGCATCCTAGACAATGGGAGATGAATGCTCACAGGATCCATCGATACCTTGAACCGTTTGCATTCCAAAGTCTGGCCACATAAATTGATCACAGCTTTGTCCCGTGAATAATTACTGCCAGAGTTGTTACATTTCATTACTGCTGCATGGCACTCCTTATAAGCTGTAATCAAGAGCTCTTCCTGGAAATTGCATTATTTTTACAATAGTTAATGGTATGTGTAGCACTGAATTTATGGTATAATCATAGTAGCTGTGTTTCTGCAAACATCCAATTTTAACAAAACTCTACCTGCCCTATACTTGCTATTTTTTTTAGTGAAAAGCAAACATTTCAGTGAATTCTAGCAAAAAAGCAACACTTTGTACCAATATTTTTTAAATTTTGGTTTTAAATGAAAATATCTATTTAACTATACTCTGAGAAATGCAAAGCTTTATGATCTATAATTCTTGAATTTATCAATAAAAAATAGTTGCATTTTCTATAGATTTGTGCAGATAGTCTTCAATTTACAATCACAATTGAGCCCAAAATCTCTGTTGCTAAGTGAGACATTGAGTTTTGCACCCTTTTTATGATTTTTCTTGCCACAGTTGTTAAGCAAATCACAGCAGTTTGTAAGTTAGTAACCTGGTTGTTAAGTGAATCTGGCTTCCCCATTGACTTTGCTTGTCAGGAGGTCGCAAAAGGGGATCACATGACCTTAGGACACAAGTATGAACCAGTTGCCAAGCATCTGAATTCTGATCACATGATCATGGGGATGCTGCAAAGGCTGTAACTGTGAAAAACAGGTCACTTTTATCAAGGTCTTTGTAACTTTGAACGGTCACTAAATGAACTGTCGTAAGTCGAGGACTTTGCCATTCCAAAAAATAAGGAACATTTAAAAATTTATAAACAGCTTGTTTTAACCTACAACAAGCTACCAAAATCAGAACCTATGTGTAAAATAACAGTCTTGTAGTAAAGAAAGGCTTCTTTTTCCTAAGTAACAATAACTCAAGAGGCCTTTCAAAGTTAACTGCTTTTGATATTTCAATTAAATATTTCATTTTTAAGAATTCCCAAGGGGAAAAAATGAGTTACAGTAAATCAGTCACGTTGATCAAGTCTAGGGAGAGGAGTCTGCTAATAAGAAACTCCAATTATTCACATCACTGCAAGTCTTTTCTACTACCGTGTTTCCCCAAAAATAAGGCCCCGTCTTATATTTTTTTGAACCCTGAAATAAGCGCTTGGCTTTATTGCCATGCGCTCAAAAGCCCGATTGGGCTTATTATCAGGGGATGTCTTATTTTGGGGAAAACAGGATATGCAGCTTACATCACAGGCACACCACTCCTGAAACATCAAGAGAATGTTCTTCAACTGCATCTGGATTGTAATGGCTGCTTCCCAGTCAGGATCCACCTCAATATGCTGCCCAACTTGTCGCTTTATTTCCTCCATTCCCTGTAACAAACCAAGATCCAGATAACTCAAGTCAAAATTACTCAGACCATAAGACCATTCAGACCATAAGCTTAAATAAATAGATATGGAAGTATCAATTGAATTGAGGAAATGTTTTATTTTGAATGAAATGTGACAATATAATAGGGCATACTTGGAGAAATCTTTGGAATTCATTATACTGAAAAAAGTTAATTTATAGTCACTTAATAGAAGCAGAGCTCTTTAGAATCATTTTAAGAGCCGCGGTGGCACAGTGGTTAGAATGCAGTACTGCAGGCTACTTCTGCTGATCACCAGCTGCCAGCAGTTTGGCAGTTCGGGTCTCACTGGCTCCAGATTGACTCAGCTTTCCATCCTTCCGAGCTGGGTCAAGTGAGGACCCAGAATGTTGGGGGCAATATGCTGACTTTGTAAACCGCTTAGAGAGGGCTGTAAAGCAGTGTGAAGCGGTATATAAGTCTAAGTGTTATTACTATTAAATAATATAAATGCAGACTAATAATAGAATACAGCTACACTGAAGTATACTATTAGCCACTATACTAATTATCATTTGAGTGTAATAAAAAGTACAGATTATATACTATACCTGCATACAAGTCAGAATTTTCAGAAAAGATTTGAACCCTTCCAAAAATTGTTGTCGCAATTTATTTGTCCACACAGTAGGCTTACTGATTAAGATATACCTATTGTAAGAAATAAACATTTTTTAAAAATGTAGCAGTGTTTCATAGCATGAAATTTGCAGAGCTGACTGATACTAATTTTGAGATGACTATTATCCTGGGAGATCTGAAACATGGCACAAGATAGAAAAGACTTTCTTTAAAGGGAGAAATTACTTTATTTACAATATACAAGAAGGGACTATGATTTTATGGTGACAGTAACAGCAAGATAAATATTCTTCTCCACTGTCTACGGAGATTCTCAGTCATCTAGGTCATAGTTGTCCCAAAGGTGCTTTATTTTTCCTTTTCTCAAGAGGCAACTGGACTTTCTGGTTTTTCTTTGAAGATGTTTCGCTTCTTATCCAAGAAACTTTTTCAGCTTCTTCAGAGCTGAAGAAACTTCTTGCGGCAAGACGGACATTTCGATTCTCATCATGGATAAATGGCTACAAAAGTTGATGGGAGTTAGCAGAGATGGCTAAATTGACCATTTTGATCACAGAAAATAATATAAATACTTTTGTTTCTACTTGAAAACCGCCTCTGGACTTTGTGCTTGAGGTGGAAAAAAAATGAAACTTTGATTTTGGGTTTCATTGATTATGTATATATATATAAAGTTTATTGTCATTGTATGTATATACACAGTATACCCATACAACGAAATTCACATAATACCCAGAGACCAAGCCCAACACACATTAGTTGGTTAGATTAGATTGTTGTTATAGAAATGGCTAGTTTATACTATTTGTTCTTGTTAGTTGCGAAGTTGTGTCCGACCCATCGTAACCCCATGGACAATATTTCTTCAGGCCTTCCTGTCCTCTACCATCCTCTGAAGTCCATTTAAACTCATGCCTATTGCTTCAGTGACTCCATCCAGCCACCTCGATCTCTGTCATCCCCTACTTCTTTTGCCCTCAATCTTTCCCAGCATTAGGCTCTTCTCCAGTGAGTCCTTCCTTCTCATTAGGTGACCAAAGTATTTGAGTTTCATCTTCAGGATCTGGCCTTCTAAAGAGCAGTCAGGGTTGATCTCCTCTAGGACTGACCAGTTTGATCGCCCTGCAGTCCAAGGGACTCACAGGAGTTTTGTCCAGCACCATAGTTTAAAAGCCTCAATTTTTCGGTGCTCAGCCTTTCTTATGGTCCAACTTTCAGTTTATACTATTATGGAAAAGTAAAAAGTTGAGGTTCAATGTTAATGCCTTATTCGACAGCAACAAAGGGAGTCAAAAGTCGCCTTTTTTTCCCTTTCCCCTCGTCTTCCATGTCAGGTTGGCAATTAATCCCATTCTGCTTTTGGGTAATTGCATCTTGATTTAGAGAATGGATCGTGACTATTTCCTTGAAGTATACTTTAAGAAAATAAACCCAAAGATATATTTTCTAAGAAAAACTCATTTATTTGTTATAAAGAAAATAAAACATCTTACTAGCTAATTAATTACATCTTGGCAAAGCTTTCCTGGCCACCTCTCTTGGCCAGAGAACAAAGAAAGGTAGAGAAGAAGAAGGAATGTGGACATGCGCAGTTAGCTTAGAGATAAGAACTTGGCAAGCTACGGTAAGTCTGAAATTCAAAAATAAGAGCTCATCTGGTAAATACAAAAACGCAATGACATTCCACACTTCCCCTCTCTTCTGTTTCCTACTATTTGCTGTTGCGTTTTTGTATTTTATATTATAAACTAATAAAAATAACAGTTCAGAGCTGGAGAAGCTTCTTGGATGTCTTCAAAGAAAAACTGGAAAGTCCAGGAAAAGAGCACTTTTAGGATTCTTCTCCACTGCCACTTCACTACTTCAATGACACTGCCAGAATAATTTAATATATTTATTATTTTATTGAACGTGGTTATAAATCTTGAAAGTGCCAGATTCAAAATACTATTCAGTTTAAGCATAGTACACATTGTTAAGATTTGCCTAACATTATAGCAGTCCATCTGCAATTTGAACTATAATGTTTATCCAGCCGATCCTAAAAGCATTGCCGGTATTCCAAGTGCTAGTTTCTGTACATCTAATTTATTCATCTATATTTGAAGTCAAGTGTAGAGGAATACCAATGTTTTAAACAAGCAGACAAGAATCCACAAAGGTATTTGCAAGATGAAGTACTTTTATGCTTTAATAGGAAAACTTACTTAAGATCATATATAACTGCATATACTCGGCTCAATTTCTCTTGGCTGTAACCCTGGAAATTGAATTTGCCATTTTTATCCAAATATTTTGGTAGTTCTTCTAGAAGGGTCTCTGTTATGACTGTGATGACATTTTGCTTTTCAATGAGATGGCGGGCCTGAAAAGGAAAATGTATTCAAAATCTAAAATACATAAGACTATATCTTTATTCACATCCTATTCGCATAAGAACAAAATAGAAAAAAGGAAGATAGCATAACAACCTGTCTCTATTCATCCTAATCATGTCTTTTGAATACAGGTAGTCCTCAACCTACAATTGAGTCCAAAATTTCTGTTAAGTGAGATATTTGTTAAGTGAGTTTATGACTTTTCTTGCCACAGTTGTTAAGTGAATCACATTGATAGATTCATAACCTGGTTGTTAAGTGAATCTAGCTTCCCCATTGACTTTGCTTGTCAGAAGGTCAGAAAAGGTGATTGCATGACTTTAGAACACAGCAATGGTCATAAGTATGAACCAGTTTGCCAAGCATCTGAATTTGATCACATGAACATGGGGATGCCGCAAAGGTCGTAATTGTGAGAAATAGTCATAAGTCACATTTTTCAGTGATGTTGTAACTTTGAACAGTCACTAAATGAACTGTTGTAACTCGAGGACTACCTGTAGAATGGTGAACCTTAGCTGCATTCCTATCAGTCATTTTTTTTTACTATACTTTATAAAAAGTTATCTTCCATACAAGATAAAACCATCTCTCTCATAATGTTCTGTCCCCAACCACACACACACACACCAACAGACGTTCAAGAGTTAAAGACCAAACCAGCCAGCAAAATCCTTTTCCTTATGATAATGGAACTTGGCAACAACCTAGTGGCTGCCTGCCAAGAGTTTATTATTTACGAAAAGGAGAGATAACTTCTCCTCACTCCTGGTACATCAAAAGAAACAGCTCAATAATTACGGAGTCAATCAAGTCCAGAGATAATCCAGCAAAGTCTATAGCAAAAAGTCTGGCAATGCAGAACGGCGTGGAAGCTTTCAGCTTTGTTCGTCACAAGGTATGACTGGCCACCACGCTCCCTTTTATTTCTTGTGGGATGTGGTCCAGTGACTCAGCCTAATCTCGGGCACGCCTTTTCTTCTGTTGCGCGCGCTTATCTCTGCGACACTGGCGTGGATCCAGCCAAGACTCATTAACCTCATCACTGTCCATCTGTGGCTGCGTGGACGTGCTTGGCCCCGGCCCTATCTCTTGCCTTTCGGCGGACACCGAAGGCATTGCCAGAGAGGAGGGTTCTGGACAGGGAGGCCTTGCCAACTCCTCTCCTTCACTCTGGGAGTCTTCTCCTGCCGATGACACAGGCTCAGGTAACGGAGCCACAACACATAAGCCCCCTTTGTGTATTATGATATCTAGAGTTCACCATGTGAGTGCTCCTGATATCGCTTTCCTGCCCACATCACTGGAGAAACATCTTTCTTCTGGAAATGTTCATTCATTGAATGTGAATATCAACTGAAGGAAAGCCAATGTGTATACAACTGTATGTATGTTGGCTTCCATGAAAGCTAGAACTCTAAACCTGGTGCATGAATATTTGTAGGAAAATGATCAGGGTTGAAATCCAGCAAGTTCTGACAGGTTCTGGAGAACCGGTAGCAGAAATTTTGAGTAGTTTGGAGCAAATACCACCTCTGACTGGCCCCAGAGTGGGGTGGGAATGGAGATTTTGCAATATCCTTCCCCCAGGACTGGGTAGGGAATGGGGATTTTGCAGTAGCCTTCCCCTGCCACGCCCACCAAACCACACCACGCCCAAGCCACGCCCATAGAACCAGTAGTAAAAAAAATTTGGATTTCATCACTGAAAATGATACATTCATAGAATGTGTGCTCCAGATTTCATAATACATAGAGGGACTATGAAGAAGAGGAAAGTTTAGCTAGCTTAAAGCCTGCTATATGTCTATGTATATGCTTGGCCCTCTTTATATCCTTGTCCTAGACAAAAACATGTCATTTATGACCACAGAAGGGAAAAATACTTCTGCTAAAGTTTAGGGGAATAATAGTATACATACCAATGTTGGTACAGTGAATATCTGAACTGAAAGTGCTGTCACAGAAAACTGCCTTTCATGATCATCACTGATATATTCTCTCTGCAAAGCTTTGTAATGCTGTGAAAACACAAATACAAAGAAAGTACTGTTTACTGACCGGATTATGATATGTAAGCAATCTGAAGAATAGAAATTTGACAAATAAAATATCTACTTCCTCTCAGGAAGATTTACTTCACCAAAGCATGAAACTATGGTTAATAGCATTTGGGAAAATGGGAGACATCTGGAGAGCAAAATCGATGAGAATCTAGGATGGAAATTAATTTTGATTAAATTTTATTTAAATTTATTTTTAAAGTTCCATTTAATTAATAGGATTAATATAATTCAACCCACATAGTTAGTCATTTTCTCATGCTTTCATTTTAAAAATTAAGATAAAGCAGCAGATAGATTAAAATAAGCAGCAGTTTTGTGATCCGCACCAAGGCATGTAAGACCACATATGCTTCTTGGAGTTATGGTTGCGCACCACTGCCTTATAACTTGTTACAGAATACAACAATGATTAAAGTATTTATTTTTATACTATAGCTCTTTTTACCGATGAGGTAACAATTTAAGTATGAAGAAAAAATTTACTATCTCCAAGTAAAGATAATACATTAGATAAATTACCTTAACAAATTCCATAGCAAAATGTTTTTTATACTCCATTTCCATAAAAAAAGTACTGAAGATTAGTTCATGTAAAATCTTTCTTGCTCCTGGAAAAATGCATAATATTTTTTTCACTCAAAAACATTTCATTACAAATTAATAGATCTTTAATAAGTACAATGCTTATATAAAAATGGAAAACCTATTTAAGAGAAAATGCTAAATTGCTATTAAAACATGAATCATCCCAGTGAGTAACCTTAGCTAAAAAGATATCACCCTTTTTAGAAACGAAATAAAGTATCTACCAAATCTGTTTTAAGCATAATAGTGGCATATTCATGAAAGTTTTGTTCTGCTGGTATTTAAACCTATGTAAGTGGAGAAACCAAATCCTTAAAGAATAGATCAAACTACTTTAGAAGGGGCAACCTATCAGGCAGATGTGGTTGAAATACCCCCCCCCCCCAAATAAAGAAACTGGAAGAAGGAGAATGAATGAAAGCCTCAGAAATATCTGTAAGAGACAAGAAGTAGCAGTAGGATAGCAAAGGAAAAACTAGCAATGCCTAGTTGAGTAGCCTATAATGATCTTGTGAGTAGAAGAGACCCTGGACTGGGGAGGCAGTCCTGAAGACCAGGGAGGCTGCTCAAGAAAACTGAGGGAAGATGGACACCACCCAAGTATAACTGCAGATTATGTCAAGGAAAGTCTCATGGAGTGAGATCTGATAAAGGCCATGGAGCAGCAAAAGGCTCAATGCCTCAAGCTATATCCAATAGACAATGAAACAGCAGGAATGAAAGAGGAGCAGAAGAGCTAATATTTGCTTCTTTCTGCTCCTCTCCCCACAACAAGGAGCCAGCAACCTTCTCACTGTGCACACACTGAAAGAAGAAAGAGCACAAGGGAGTATCTAGTAGACAGTTTAGCACTACAGCCAACAAGACAAGGCTTGAGGTTGCCAAGACTCCAAGCTATGACCAAGAGTAGGAGAGAGAAGGCAGAATATCATATCAAGAGAACCTAAGAGGAAGTGTCTGGTTTGACAATAGTGGAACAGAGAAAGATGTTTAAGGATCAAGAAAAGCTTACGTGAAGATGAAAAAGAATGAATTGGTAAGCTAAGGAGGTTATTAAGTTGTTGCCAGATACAAATGAAATAATAGTATACCATTACAGAAATATAAAGTAAAGAAAAGATAAATGTGAAGTGATGGGGAATTTTTACAGCTAACCAGGGCTGTTGAGAGCAAAGAATGAAATGGAAACCAGAAGTTTAGCAAAAATGCAAAACAAAAATGTAAAAGAAAAGTGCCAGAAATCTACAAAATACAAGATTACTATCTTAGGCTTCCCAGATAGATGCTAAATAAATTGGGAAAATAAGAACAAGTGTCTAGAAACAGAAACACATATTCATTAAATGAAAAGACTTCATTATTAATTATTAAGTGAAATTTATTTTTGGACTATACACAGTAAGAAATACTATTGTTATTTATTATTACATGTTATGCCTAGCCTTGTCAATGCCTAAAAGGATTCAATTAAAGGAAACAATGTACCTCTCACAAGGAAATACATTTGACACAATGAATAAAACAAGAAGTTAAGGATTTTGTATTATTTTCTATGACCATAACAGAAGGTTCAGCTGTTTTATTTCTTACAGGGGCCCACCAGATGTTTTTAGAAAATTCTCAGTTGGCAATAGCTCTGTCCCAGTTATTTCTCAAAGATTCAATTTACCTTTATAAAGTTTTGCATCCCACAGCATCAATATGCTTATCAGACAAGGTTTCCCTGAATCAGCTTCTTCTTTTAAACATATTTTACAGAATATCTGACGAAAATCACCTAAAAGAGGAACGTATCAGATGAAGGTTTAGATTACTGAAGGACTTAACTGAAATCCTTATGAAAAATATCATGCAAAAAAACCTTCACATATAACAGAAAGATATTTGAAAATGTCCTTGCTCTCATACTGAGTAATTTTATGCAATCACTTTCATGTTTACTTCTGTAATCATTTTGCAACAATAATCAATGATACAATGCAATTCCTTTGAAGAAAAAAGGTGCAAGAACTGTGGTGGTGCAGTGGTTAGAACAAAGTACTACAGGATACTTCTGCTGACTGCCCGCTGACTGCAATTTAGCAGTTCGAATCTCATCAGGCTCAAGGTTGACTCAGCCTTCCATCCTTCTGAGGTGGGTAAAATGAGGGCGGAGATTGTTAGGGGCAATATGCTGACTCTGTAAACCGCTTAGAGAGGGCTGTAAAGCAGTGTGAAGCGGTATATAAATCTAAGTGCTATTGTTATTGCTAGGGTTCCTAAAGAACTTTACCCAAACAAAATGGATAGAGTCCCAAAATTTGATCTGATTTTATTTGAGGGTGGGGATAAAAGAAAATGATGCCCAAACAAGACATAATTTTGTCCCTTAAAAACCAAGAAAAATAAAAAATAAAAAAGGCAATCCTGCTTCCATCTATTTTTGGAAGGTGACCCTCAACAAGCTGTGCAAAATTCAGTGTGGCCCTCAAGCCAGGAGAAGTTTTGCATCACTGTTTTAAGGGATGATTGTCTAACAGTAGCAGGAAAATAGTTTTTCACAGAAGAATAGAATCATTTTGACTTGTTTTACAAACAAGGGAAATACTTGCCACAAACAATAAAGCTCTTGTTCAGTATTTTGCAATCTATGCACAACACAAATAATCTAGGATACTTACTTGAATAGCTCATAAGTTTGTTTAACCAAGAACCAAGACGCAAAGCAAATTTCTGATGAGCCATTACATCTGCATGAAGAACCATCACATTAAGGGGACCTTGGGAAACATTATTTGAATGTTTCTAGAAAATAAGAATATTTAAAATTTGAATGAGAATACAACAAGCATTCTATGGATCAAAGATGATTAAACAAAAATGTGGAGTTAAAATCAAGGAAAATCATCTCTATGAATGTATCTTCATAAATGTACAGAATAGTATACATATTTTAAAAATTCTATTGTTACCTTAATCTCCTCTTTTGTTTCTTGACAAACAACATATGACCCCTTCTTAACAGCCTTTCGACCCTGCATAATTTTTTTAAAAATAAAATAAAATAGAGATAGACAGGATAATGTTATTATAGTGTGTGCAAACAAAAGGCAAGATCAAAATGGAAAAGTTGCTTTCAGGCCGATTTAAATGGAAGTGGTACAAATATTCAGTCATTTTGTATTATAATTTAAATTTGAATTAGTTTTTGTTGGATATATATCAACATCAATGACTTTTAAAACTGACAAATAACATTAACATTATTACAGAGGTAATGCCATCATGTAGCTCTTTTAAAGGAATAAATTCACTGTCGGAAATTAGCATATGGCTTGGATGTTCACAGGATTTTAAAAATATTCTTAGTTCATGGTCCATTAATTCTTCTGTTCCTTTTCTGGATTATTCCATTCTAGAATTTGGAAGATTTATGTCTATTAACACCAAACAATTCTCATAATGGTATAGTCTGAAAGAGGTAAGGCATAGTTTAGAAGAGGAATAAGACATTCTAAATTTGTCATTCCATTCCTGAATCAGTGAATTTTGCTCTACCATATATACTTGCACATAAACCCATCGGCAGATAATCCAATCCTTGAATCTTTATCCCAAATACCATGAAAAAAGTGCCCACACGGCACTTCTGAGAAGAAATGGCAGACAAACTCTTTATCTTGTTAACCCTTATGTGAAAATAGATCATCCAAAGCACTTCCTGGAAGATGGCTGGATCAATATATAGTAAAACAAAGCTAAAATACAAACATCTTTAAGGGCTTATAAGAATATAAAGATCTTTGCCTAGAATTACAAAACTTTGTAACTTAGAATCAAATGAGCTTCTCTGGAAGAGAAATTCTAAAACTGTGACCCATTGCTAAAAAGAATATCTTCCTCTGGTACCATATCTGATGGGTGGGAACAATGTAACAAGAACCTCAAGAAAAAAGATTTAGATATGAACGGTAAATATGAAAAAATTCTTCAGAAATAAATTCCTTAAATATTTCAAAAAGGCCAGATTTAAAATGCATGCTGGCGCAAACAGCAATAGCAATAGCACTTAGACTTATACTGTATACTGCTTCACAGTGTTTTGCAGCCCTCTCTAAGCTGTTTACAGAGCCAGCACATTGCCCCCAACAATCTGGGTCCTCATTTTATCGACCTCAGAAGGATGGAAGGCTGAGTCAACCTTGAGCCTGTTGAGATTCAATCTGCCAACTTGTAGGCAGTCAGCAGTCAGCAGAAGTAGCCTGCGGTACTGCATTCTAACCACTGCGCCACCATAGCTCTTGTGATTCTAAATGTTAGAATTTCCAGAAAAAAGTCAATCCTGAGATAATAATTTCTTCATAAAATATAAATTCATCTTTCTCTTTAATTTAAAATGAGAAGAGAATTTGGTATGGGAACAAAAAAGTGACCAGCCCTGTTCATTCACTAAATTTCTAAAATAATTAAACCTGCTAAAATAATAATTATTTAGATGTCAATTGACTTAAAAGAAAACCCATTGTTCTGAAAATTGTAACTCTATAACAAAATTTACCTTAAGAATTCAATCTAATATAAGATATAGATTATAGTGACAACTCAGAATCAGATAATGAACACTGCAAGTATATTACACCAATCTGTGCAAGAGAGAACTATGCAGCCAAGCTTTATCAAAAAGCAAAATAATCTCAGCATTTATTGAAAAAAATGACAATGTCCTTCTTCCACTTCTCCCTGTATCAGGCTGGATACCACAGCAGCATAATAACTGGAATACACACACTTGTTTCAGAAATTATGTATATTACTAACCTCTTTATCTATTGCAGTAGTATATATCTGGGCTTCTCCAAGGTCACACCCAAGAGTTCTTTGTAGACTGTAGATAACATGATCGTAAGAATGATGCTCATCATTGAAAAGGACACAATAGTGTTTGTCTGGCTTCTCTCTACTATAAAAAAAACCCAAAAGATGACTGATAAGCCATAAGAAAAACTGAAATAACTTCCAAATTAAAGTTGGCCACAGGAATAGCACAAGCTACAAATAAACATACAGTAAAGATATTGGGAATATTGACTTTTATTATAAGATTTTGGAATTATCTATAAAAAATAAATAGTTTCTTGTGGGAAACAGATTTATTTTGGTTATCCTGGTTACTGCAAGTCTTAATTAAGATAAGTTACTTTATGGTTTTGGAAGTTGGACGCAAAAAAAGATTCGAAGCAGAATAAAATACAAGCCAGTTCTTGACATCAGTTAATACTAGGACTTACAAAATGACACAAAACATTATAACATCAAAAACATTAAACAAGACCTTTGAAGAATGAAGCCAGAAATTACTGACTGCAATATCAACACTATCAATAATAATGTCTGCTTCTATGGATAGAGCGTCCAAAAGATGTTAATGAAGGAATGACACATATGAAAAAAAAATACCTAAATTATTTAAGACAAAGAAAGTATCAAAAGTGGAATTTTAAATGACAGGCCAAGAGAATGATTTGGAAAAGGTTACTTTATTAGATATCCAAAGAACCTCTCTGAAATTTTAAAAAGGGAAATATAATGATAAAGCAAGAGGATGAACTGGAAAATATTTTTCAATTGGCTCTACAAAAGAGGTTTGTTAAAGCCTGAAAGACATCTATGTGATGGGATAAAGAAGAAGAAAAATCAAATCAATTCAATATTTGAATGAATTAAAGAATTACATTCATTAAAAGTAAAAGCAGGGAAGCAGGGAAGATAAAGTTGTTTTATTTGATCAAGTTAAAATAACTTTTTTTTTTTTGGCAGTCTTGACAACCCTTTATGGAATTTTTGCTGGCACAGAATTGAAAACTTGATGTTTTATGGATTTGCACATATATATTGGATGGGATATGGGATAATGAGGTATTTGTAACTTTATAGGGAGTGAAGGGTTACCAAATTTGTTTATACTTATTATGAGGAATGTTGCAAATCAATTCTTTATATATATATTTCTTTTCTTTATTATACCCTTTCTTTTTTCTTCCTTTTTCGTTCACTTTTTTTCCTCTTTCTCCAATTTAACTTGTATTAGTTTTTACTATTGTAATCAAAATTCTTAATAAAAAATAAGTAAAAAAATAAATAGAAGAATTAGAGAATATTGATAGTATGTTGTGCTAAGAGCTCTTCGTTTAATGTGGGTAAGATATAGTAAGCAGCTACCTGTTCTAAATAGCTCTACCTGGTCTGGATGTCTCTACTGAACACGAGGAAGTCTTCATCGGTGGTGCTTGTATTTTAATCTTTTTTTGTTTAATATAGGAGGAATGTAATAAAGGATATATTAGCTAGGCAGTATTTTGAAGTTTAGATGGCTGTCCTAAGGAACCAGAAATCATATGCTGCACATCCTCTTTCTGAAATTTGAATATTAATATTGATTTAACAATTTTAGCAGGAATCATGTCAACACCCAACTGCTTTATAGATTTGTTTCATGATGGTGATGTGAATATAGTGGCTGCACTGATGGAATGAGCTGGATTGAGTGGTAGGAACTGAATAACTGAATATAACTGCCCTATTGTGAAAAGAAACCTCTTACTCTAATTGAGCTCAACTAAATGGAGTCTTTCTCTTTTACTATTGTTTAAAAACTTCTTCCTCCAATAGAAGTGAAATAACAAAATATGATCACTGTAATTATAAATCTTTAAAAAATCAAAACTTTCTATCATATTGCTTGTGAAAGCTATAATCAGAAGGATGGCTAACTCTGGGGGAAAAAGGGAGAATTGAAGGACAGGAACCCCAGATTTTCTTTGTAATAATTAGCACTATCTTTCCAAGTTAAACAATCTCTATACTAGTATGAGGTCTTAAATATAGAAAGACTTTTAAGCACCTTTCTTAACAGTTGCAAGAAAAAAAATCCATTATCTGCTAGGCTACAGAGTATGAAGACAGGAAATCATTTTACTTGTAGGGTGAGAATTTCAAGATACATAAACTATCTGGGTGATTCTATATAATTATCCACTCCTACTTATCTTTGCTTTTCCTTGCTAAATTATTCAAAGTTCTTGCCTAATCCTGATTGGGTGATGCATTATCTTCACTGTTTGTTACTTTATTATTAACAATCTTGGAATGGAGGCAGGTAAGACACTTAGAAGCCAATTGTAACAAATTACTTACTTAATCATAAGCTCTGAAAACAGCTCTTTCTCCTCTTCCCAAACAGTCATATCAACAAAGTATTTTATAACTGAAGGGAAGATTTTCCTTGCTTGTGCGATTACCTCTTCATTCAACTGGCATTCCACATTCTACAAAAAAATTAAATGTACCCATGTTAGATCCATAGTACAATAAACCAACAAGCATGAACTTTGTTGCAGACTCTTTCACTGCTAACTAGTGAAAGAAATATCTTATAGTAGCAATTGTTCAATAAGAAATATCTCTTTCATTCTCTCTCTTGGTCTGTGGGAGGGGGCTTGTACCAACTGATATCTGGTGACTGCCAGGACTAGTTCTGCAGTTTTCCTGGCCAAGTTTTTCAGAAGAGATTTGCCTTTGCTTCCTTTCTAGCGCTAAGAGAAAGCAACCAGACTAAGGTCACCCAGCTGGCTATGTGACTAAGGCAGGACTAGAATTCACAATCTCTTGGTTTCTAACCACTACACCAGGGCTGTCAAACTGCTGGCCCATGGGCTAGATGCATCACATGCTGGCCACACCCACGACCAGCTTAGTAAAGGAGGAAAAAGTCCCGATACGTCATGTGATGACTCAAGTTTGATACCCCTGCACTACACCAAACTGGATCCAAAAAACATTGAAAAATTCCAATTGAAATCCAAAACAGCTGTTCACAATGTCTTAACTCTTAACTCTCTATGAAGCAGCTTTCCATGATATATTTATCTTCCTTTAAAAGATATAAAAGATCTATAGATAGTCTCCCTCTTATCGATAGCAACTAGGACCAGCGATGTGATTGTAAGATGCAATGTCACATGACTCTGCAATCTATGACAGCCATTCTAGTGTCCTGGTTACCATTGTTAGGAGAATCCTATGTGGTCACAGCTTCCCAGTCACATAACGGCCATTTGTGACCTTCTAATGGCTTCCCCATTGACTTTGTTCATTAGAAGTCAGCAGTGAAGGTTACAAATGGTGATCACATGATCGTGGAATGCTGTGATGTGATAATCATGAGTCAGCCACTCAAATCACAATCATGTGAACACAGGGACACTGTGACAGTCACAACAATGAGGACTTATCGTGAATATCCCTTGCTCAGCATTATGGTAACTTCAATCACTGAATGAGTGGATGTTAAATGAGAACAATCTGTATAAGAATAACTATCAGTCTCTCTGATTAAGTTAGTCTGGGATCAGGGGTGAAATGCTCCCAGATCGGACCGGATCACCCAGTCCAATCTTGGCCGGTGGTTCGGCAATCAGGTAGCAATGGCAAATTGAAGCTCTGTCCACCTGCCCCTGTGTCATTACTTCCTGGTTTTAACCAGGAAGTAATGTGTTTTTTACCTTCTGCGCATGCGCAGGTCTGCGCACGCATATGACGTGCAAGGCGCGTGTGCTTCCGAATCGGTAAGGAAGGTAAGTAGGTTTCACCCCGTCTGGGATGGTAGTTTTTTTATTCAGAAGGAGAACTACTTAGAATATCATGGCTACATTGGAATCATGGCATTCTTTCAACATATCATTAGCTAGTCAAAGTTCAACATTATTTTCAATCAAGAGAAGAACAAGTGGGATTCCTTATGACCTAACTGTCTTGTTCAAAAAACTTGTTGAAATTGTGATAAACAGCTTCTGAGGGTCCACTTTTATAAAATTATAAACTCAGAAGTGTGTGAAAATTTATTAGAAAATTCCATTAGAATGGAACACAAACATCAAGGGTTATGATACAAAGATGTTCCAAACATTTTGTGAGCATCCCAAACAACTAGTATATAATTAGGAATTATTCTTTATACAATAATATTTGTTTTTCAATTTATTACAAAGAAATACCTCTTCAGTATTATCTCCTCCTTCAGGCTCATGTTTTGTACACACTGGTCCAGTCTTCCATGCTTCTGTATCCCCACAGTCGCAAAATCCTCCTCCAGTAGAAGTATGCATCTAAAACAATTAAGAACAAAGGACATAATGGGAAGTTCAGAACCATTAATTCATTTTAGAAGTAATGCAGAACAATGGTACGGCATATATCACAGCAATACTACATTACACGAGTAACAACTATGCCCAAATTTGTCTGTGTTCTCCTTTTGTAATGGTTATGTGAAAATGACCTAGAGCAGGGATGTCAAGTTCCTGGCCTGCTGTCCCGATGCATCACGTGCTGGCCACGCCCAGTTTAGCAAAGGGGGAAAAAGTCCAGATACCTCACATGATAATGCTGTGACACCGTGAGTTTGATACCCCTGACCTAGAGGAATGAGGGGATGAGATGGTGCCTAGGAAACAAATAAGAGGGCAGGAGCCTGCTTAATGGTCAGAAAAAGAAACTTAGAAAAGGCCCATTCTAATGAATCAGGCTATTAAAAAGTGACTACCACAACTATTAACTGCCCAATTCATTAGAATGGGTCTTTTCTAAATTTTGTTCTCTAACTCTTAAGCAACAGTAGGCTCCCCTCCCTGTTATCTGATCTTTTAAATTAACTAGTTTTTATTGCCCCTAAATGGGAGTCCTGGATATTCTGTATGGAAATTTGAGATTTCTTTCTGAGATTATCCATTACCTATGCATCTGATAATTACAAATTAATCCTCTTGTTCTTTTTTGTCCTAAAGATCCTGAAAGTAAGTTTATGAAATTAAATAGTCAGTTTTTCTATTCTGCCTAGTAATTTTTGGCTGTCTGAATTGATGTGGCCATTAAGTATTCTACCACTTAACATAAATTGATTTTCTTGTACTGTTATTTACCTTCAATACTTAAAAAACACAATCAAATTCTCATAAATGCTCATTTATCTTACTAGCACACTACATTGATAGATATCACACCAAAGCACACATTTCTTTACCTTGTAACGATGATTTACATGAATACTGTTCTGGAAGCAATCCATGCAAAGTACACAAGTTGGATCAATTGCACAATCCCTGCAACAAAAATAAGAAATTGATGCTGATAAGTGCTGTAAGCACTTATTTTTCAAAAACCTACCAAACCTCCAAATTCTGGAAGTGTTAATTGAACAGAGTGGAAGCATTCACACATAAGCTAGAATTGCTTATTATTAGTTGTGGGCAAAATGATTTATGCACAAACCAGTCTCAACATAAAATAGATTCTGGGTGATCAGTGCCTGAACTGAAATCATACATGTTTCAGATGTTTTAATCCAAAACATAGAGCAAGATTTTTTCCAGGTACGAAATAAAATGGATTTTTTTTTCTGCGTAGAAGTAACAGGAACATAGAAAACTAACAGCAGAAAAAGACCTACTGGTCCATCGAGTACACCTTTGTTTGTTTTCTTTTTAATTAATGAATTAATTAATTAAATTTTTGTCAGATGGACATGTGTTTAAACTGTATTACTAATAACTGATCCACTATCTCTGTTGGAAATTGGTTCCAATCTTCTACTACTCTTTCTGTGAAGTAATACTTTCTAACATTACTTTTGAACTCTTCCCCCCCGCCCATCACTTTGAGATTATGTTCACGTATTCTTAATTTTTGCTTAACATTGAAATACTGCCTTCTACACTTTATTCTCATCTTTAAAGTTTTCATATTTAAAGGTTTCAATCATATCCTATATAGCAGGATTAGAACCTCCTTTTTCCTGCTGGTGATTCCTCAAGTGATGCATCCCAGAATTTTGTTTGCCTTCACAGCTACCCAGCCACACTGTTTTGCAGTCATCTGCTATAAGTACACCTAAATCCTTTTCTACTGTTGTTCTAACATTGTATCCCCAATACTGTACCCTGCCAGAGGATTCTTTTCCCTTAAATGCACGATCTTACACTTATGCATTGCATAATACATTGTTGGTGAGGAGATTTGAGTATGAAAACCTATGGCTGATAGGTTTCCTTAGTGATGTTTCTATAGACACTGGGAGAACCGGCAGCAGTGGCTGGAGAAGGAGGAAAGGGATAGCTGTAAGAAAATTAGGAGGTGGATAAGCTGGTAGATATGTCACATAAGAATACTGGTCGCTGAGAGGAGGAAGGGAAAGTGCTGGAAATACCAAAGAGCACATTGGTCAGTAGGGTATGATGGGACATCAAAAGTGGCTGTGGAGCGGAGGGAGAGAAGGGAAAGCACAGAGAATATTGTGAAGTTTTCAAGCTGGTGTACAGGCCGTGTACACTCATCTCCTAAAATCACTCTAGGTCCTTCCATATTTTGTTTCAAACAAAATTTAAAACAACCAAAATGAGCCATGTTTTCAAGTGATGAACTGCAACTGCAACCAATTCAAAATAGCTCAATAGAACTTCCAGAACATGATGTTTGTTTTGGATTGGTAACAAAACTTACTTACATAACACTTTACTACCCATCCACGAACAAAAATCCATTTTAGAAAGGTGTTTTGCATAACACCAAAGCTGTATTGACAATTATATATTAGATCATATTGTTCAAAGAAACATTAAAAGGTAGGAATATTGCTATAAACCTGCAGGAATACGTTGTCTCTCCACCTTTAAATACTTTTCCACACAGCTGCGAGGTACCAATCTGTCTTAGTTTTTCTAGACAGGTATTTGGATCTTCTCCAAATAAATGCCACTCCAAAGGATAAAGAATAATTTTTTGGGCCATTTCTTCCTCTTTCTGTGATAGAGGGTCCATTTCATCACAATATATGCTTGGAACCACTTTTGCCAAATGTTGAAGAAAGGCAGCATGAAAATCAAGCTTCTCATCCCACCACTGCAAAAAACAGAACACAATGTTACTCCTTCAGTATCAATATTTCACATGTCATAGATTATGATATACAATATGTGTAAACAGAGAAAAAGTAACTTTGGAGTTATAAATGTTTGGAACTTTTGAGTAAAAAATGAAGGAAATATGCCATTAAACATGTATTATTAAATAAAGCAATATTTACTGTGAAGCAAAGTTAAGTTTCACCTTTTCAATTTAGACATTTATAAGACAGTGCTTTTCATTAACCAAAATATCAACATTATTTTGATTGTTGTGGAATAACAACATAAAATCTTAGAATCTAATCATCTGAAACTTGGCACAACTACTCTAACTACAGCATTTACAGGGAAAAAATAGTATTTTGTCTTTAATATATTATGAGTCACTTTCTTAGAAAAGGCTGTTATTCCTGCAAATTTAGTTCAATTTCTCATCACTTTTAACAGAAAGAAGGCTCACATTTGATTAAATAAATACAGTCTGTCACACAGAAAAAAAAATCAATTGCCATCTGGTATTTTCAAGTTGTAATTAACAGAATACATGGAGGTTTAGGGTTTCAAGTTAAGCTGATAATTTAACATTAGGCAGAAGAACTGAGCTCTGAATTAATCTGATCTCCACCTCCACCACCCTCGCTCATTTCATTTGTCAAGATCCAAGACACTTTCTTGGATAACTTCGCAGAAAATTTTGGATTTCTTAGTTCTTACCAATAAGTTGTACCAACCTAGAACTAAGGAGAAATTTCCTGATACTTAGAATAATTAATCACTGGAACGACTTGCCTCCAGAAGTTGTGAATTATCCAACACTGGAAGGTTTTAAGAAGAGATTGGACAACCATTTGTCTGAAATGGTAGGGTTTCCTGCCTGAGCAGGGAGTTGGACTGGAAGACCTCCAAGGTTCCAACTCTGTTATTCTGTTATGAGTTAATAGAACATAAATTATTACACTAGCAAACAAGGAACCAGGAAGGCCTTGTTTTCACTGATCAAATGCAATACAGTAGAGATTTCTGGGTAATTTCCTTGATAGCTACTTTAAGAAAAGCTGCAAAAAAAGGGACTTAGTTAAGAGTTGCTTATTAATTGCCAATTTGCCTTTCCCAATGATAATTCAAGCACTTCACCAGAGAGATAAAATTAGAAACTGGGTGACTGATAGAGAGAAAAGGAAAACATCTCACTCACTACACACACAGAATAACTTTGTTTAGAAATTATAGAGTTTTTCCACTGGCCCCATCTCTATTTTACTTATATATTTCCGATATACCACCCACACTATCAACGAAGTTCTCTTATGCTGATGATCTGGCATTAGCATATAGCCACAAGGACATCGAAGCTACAGAAGGCATACTTACAGCCAACCTTATAACTTTGAGTACATACTTCCACCAATGGAGGTTAATCCCAGGCGTAAGTAAAACAGTTACATCATGTTTTCACCTTAACAACAAATTGACAAAAAGAGAAGTCAATGTATACTAAACAACAAACTGCTCCCATATGAGGTAACACCAAAATACCTGGGGGTCACCTTTGACAGGACTCTGTCTTTTAAAAAACATATTCAGAATCAGGGTGGATAAAAATCAATGATTTTTTTACAAAAATCAAAAAAATCAGATTTTTTTGATTTAAATCGGATTTTTTTGATTTTTATCAAATTTATTTTAATAAAAAACTTTTGGGGTAAAAATCTATCGTAAGATAGTTTTCTATTTAAGATACATAAATAATTTAGTTTATTCAGCATGAAATGGAGCTTAGTTATGTAGCATGAGGCTGTATATTCTGCAACACTGGGACTATCGGTGAGTCAACAGTGGGTCAAAGGAGTAGCAGAGATGACAGTTGCTCTTTAAAAATTATGATTTAAATCGAGTTGATTTAAATCAAGCCTTTTTACTAGTGATTTAAATCAACTCGATTTAAATCAAATCCACCCTGTTCAGAATATGGCTCCCAAGGTTAACAGTAGAAATAACATTCCACAAAAACTATGCGGAACAACTTGGGGAGCTTCAGCCCCAACTCTTTGATGTGCAGCCCTTGGGCTTTGCTACTCTGCAGCGGAATACCGCGCACCTGTATGGATAAACAGATAACAAAGAGGACTTATTGATGTTCAACTTAACCATACGATGAGGCTAATTACTGGGTGCATAAAATCTACACCTAGTTATTGGTTACCAGTTCTTAGTCACATACTTCCCCCGCACTTACGGCGACAAGAAGCTCTCATTCGGGAGTATAGTAAGATCCTGTTAAATTCCTCTCTACCCATTCATGGCTACATTCCTGATCTCTTAAGATGCCGATTAAAGTCAAGAAACCCACCACTCTTGACAGCGCTTAAGTTGCTGGCCGATCATCAGAACATCACACAAAAGTGGATGGAAGCGTGAAGTAGCTATTCCCCCCAAGTTATCTCTGAGTATATTAATCCTAATAGTATACCTCCAGGATTTAATCTACCCCAACACATATGGGTGACATACAATAGAATTAGAACGACTCACGGGGTGTGTGCTGACTCCTTGTATAAATGGGGAAAGACACCTTCAGCACAATGCGATTGCGGGGGCCCCGGACAGACTATCCAACATATAGTGAGGGAATGCTCTAACAGAAGGTATCCAGGAGATTTTAGGGACTTCCTCTGCGTAACAACGACAGCTACTGACTGGATCTCCAAACTCGACATTAAACTCTGTTTTCCTCTTAGGTTTTCTTACTTCTCTTTTTTTAATTGTTTTAATTGTTTTAACCTGTAAAAATGAAGTGTTTTAATATTGTGTGTGACCATCCATACACTAAATAAATAAAATAAATCCACTGGTAAAACACCAGTCTCTGGGCCTGAGTGGATAGGGTAAGGAATAACTACTCCTAGTCTTACATTCAAGGTGCCATTGCAGTTCTGGTGAGCTCCCATTAACACCACTGTTTTTTCCCTGCTTTGTTTTAAGGTGATAAAAACAGCTCTAAAGCTAAATGGAGCATGCTGAGCGATGGGCTGCACAGCCTGAGTTCTCACAGCACTTTAGCATACGGTCATAGGCACTGAGCCATTTCTTCTCACTCTAAAATTGTAGTAAGGAGCTGCAGCAGTGAAGATGATGGGAGCAGGCAAAAGAGGAAAAGCAGGACCAGCAGTACAGCTTGCCCATCTGTTTTTTAGTCTCCAGAGGAGAAGCTGTTTCTTGTCAGTCTAAGCAAGGTTATGTAATGCCTAATGAGACTGACAAGCTGCTATCTCATTTTCAACAGTTGTTTTACCTGTGTGAAGGAAATGTAAGCCACAGAAAATGACCTGGAAGGCTACAGGCACCTCATGAGTTTGGGAACTCTGATCTATCTTCTAATATTTCTACACAGCTCTTTTTGCACTCATTTTACTTTCACTTTAAATTCTTTTCCTTTTTTTCAAAGACCCACTCTTAGCTCTGCAAAAAAATTGGTCTGCTCCACATTCATATCCTCTCATCATATTTCTATCTCATCATTTACTTTAATTATTAAATTTACATGCTGCCCATCTCACTGTTTGGGGTGACTCTAGGCAGCCCTATGATTTCTAGCTTAGGAGCCGTGGTGATGCAGTGGTTAGAATGCAGTATAGCAGATTAGTTCAGAATGCGGTATTAAAGGCTAATTCAGCTCACTACCAGGAGTTCAATCCTCACTGGCTCAAAATTGATTCAGCCTTCTATCCTTCCGAGGTCAGTAAAATGAGGATCCAGATTGTTGGGGACAATATGCTGACTCTGTAAACCGTTTAGAGAGGGCTGTAAACCACTATGAAGCAGTATATAAGTTTAAGTGCTATTGTTATTATACTCATTCCTATGCAATGTGTACATATAAATAAATCAATATTTAAACCACATATTAAAAATAAACAGATCTTTTCTAAGCAGATATTCAGCAGTCAGCATTCTTATTGTATTCTTTTGCCTCTACTGATACAATGGCCTTCTCTTTCTCTCTCATCTTATTCCTACCTATCCATTCTTATCACCTAGAATAATTTTTCCCCACTACATTATATTTATTTTTCCACAAATCCAATACTATTATTTACTGGCTGACATGCAACTATCACCAAATATAGACTCCTACTTTAATAGACACCCATAACAATTACTTAACACCAATTTATACTTCTAACATATATTTAGCCCTTCCTTTCAAAATTAAACTTCACTTCCCTGCACATATTTCTCAACTCTACAAGATCAAGCCACTTTCATCTCATGTATTATATGCTTTTCCTTTTTTTAATTACAGGCACACTTTTTCTTTTTAATTTCATTAATTCATATTGTTTACTATTTACTCCTTTCACATTCCAAATCTTCCATTTGTCACATCTTCAGCAGATGGGCCATAGACATTGACTTCCACCACTCAGTGGCTTTGGTCATTCAAGATTTTGGAAGAAATCTTTGAGGTGGATTGCACTGAGAGAGAATGACCCAATGTCCCAAAGTCATCCAGCCAGCTTTCATGCCTAAAGCAGGATTAAAACTCTTAATTTCTAGGTCAGCACCTTAACCATTACACCAAACTGGTTCTCATCACATATTACATACATACTAAAACTTCCATGTTTGTTTAAAAAATGTGAGAAATCTCATTCAAACAAAATTCAAGCTTTTAAGCACTGCAGTATTTACGATTCCCTTCAGAGCACTGCACACCAGAACTATACACAAGAACAGTTTTTTCCCGAACGCCATCACTCTGCTAAACAAATAATTCCCTCAACACTGTCAAACTATTCACTAAGTCTGCATTACTATTACTATTAATCTTCTCATCGTTTCTATCACCCATCTCCTCCCACTTATGACTATAACTTGTTGTCATATCTTTATGATTTGTTTCCTAGTATGATTCAATTGCTTATTTGTATCCTATGACTATCATTAAGTGGTGTACCTTATGATTCTTGACGAATGTATCTTTTCTTTTTATGTACATTGAGAGCATATGCACAAAGACAAATTCCTTGTGTGTCCAATCACACTTGGCCAATAAAGAATTATATTCTATTCTATATGGATTGTAGGTTTTTTTTTAAAATTTGATTTATATGCCGCCCTTCTCCGGAGACTCAGGGCGGCTTACAATGCGTTAAGCAATAGTTGCAAGATATATTAATGTTCTTGTCTCTTTTCTCAGTATTGTGTTTCCTCATATTAACTGTCTACTCACTTTTCCTTTTCCACAGTTACACAGCTGCTTTGACATGGTTAATTATTAAATGTCAACAAGCAGACAAATATCATTCCTAGTTATCTAGAGTTCCTTTCAAAGCAGTAATTACTTCTCAAGTTCTCTATAATTTGCACAAAATCTCTCAAATTCTCAGGCTGCACCATTAAACTACTATCTTTGGGCTCCATTTGAAATCCATGACACAGCATTCACTATTTCACTGCAGCTGAAGTTTGGCTATTTTTCCAAAGTGAAAGAATTTTTTTGAAATGCAATTTGTTTTGTTTACAAAAAGTAAAACCATTTTTGAGATTGGAAATCCCGTTTACTTAATTAACATCCATTGTTAAAAATTGTTGATTTATTCAAAAGACTGATCCATTTTAGGTATTTTCTCTGATGTCCCCACCTTCGCTTTTACTTCAAGCCCTAGTTATTACATTTAATACTTTCGAACTATTGCACGCCTATTATATTGCCCGTCATTTCTTTTACCATTCCAGTCCTTGTTTTTATTTATGAATCTATTTTCACAAATTCCTCTAAACAAAGAAATATGAAATTGCTAAACATTATTTTTAACAAATATTTCCATAAAGTTTGATTAATAATATCACTAAAGCTCACATAAGGGTCATTTATGATTGAGAACACTACCATACATATATATATATAAATACCAAGGGGGATGCATTGAGACTAATATTTTGATGTTTAAATATTATGGCCTAGACAACAATCCACTCCAGCAGAAAACAAATTTGCCTTTTAGCTTCATCAAATCTCCCCTTCCCTACTTGATGATAATAATCTTCAAGATGCAAAACATTCCATACTGGTTTATTATACAGTATAAACATACTACTGAGTGTACAGTGCTAATAAACGAGCACTGTCCACTGTAATAAATGATCACTGTCCATTAAGCAATTAAATAAAAAAAAAAAACAACCACCATTACATTTCAAAGTAAAGAGATTAAAAACTAACAACTGATAATTGAAATAGAAAAGGGACGAAGTTAAGAATGAAGAGGACAAAGCCCAGATGCCAAAAAAACACTTCGGAAAATGTTTTATTGCATCTTTATGGAGGTACGGGTAGACTATTTCTATTGCAAAAGTGGATCTGTCCGAATCCAACTCCCCGGTATTTTTAACTCTCCTGGAGTTAAAACCCTCCTCAAAATCCTAACTCTTTGCCTGTCAACTAAGTGGGCTTTGCCCAGCATGTATGTACGGCGCTGCCTGTGTAGTGCGCAACGGTGCAGTCCCATTTGACAAGGAACCCAGAGATTAGCCTATTTTGGGGGGGGGGGCCGCAGGCAACAGATGCAGGAACCAGGGAAAGACCATCTTCCTAGCAAGACCTAAGGAACAGCCCCTACTGTGTGAACAACGGGGGATAATAAAAGCATTGGGCATTGCCCGCCCGGGCATTTCTGGGTTAGGGTCCATTTATCTAGCACAGCCGCTGCTTGGACCCTTTAGGAAGGCCATCGACCCAAACGCAAGCGACGAATCCTCGGACGGGAGCGGAATCTCACCCCAGCCAGCTCCGAGGGGTTCACGGGGGCAGCGCCGCCCGTTCCAGCCATCCTTCCCGCGCCGTCGCCTTCATCCGCCATCTTAGGAGCAGCGGGGCTCGGCAGGCTTGCGTCCTCCCGCAGGCCAACCGGAAATCAGCTGCGTGGGAAGGCCCGGGGATTACCAGGGCTCGGGAAGACCTGACCCGATGCCCGACGCCAAACCCCAAACGAAGAGGGTCCTCTCTGCAACATTGCGCATGCTCGGCTTTCTGGCGCATGCTCAAGAGAGCGCTTGCTGAGCCGAGCGTCGCTTGCTAACCGGAAAATCTCGGCGGCTGCTTCTCCGACAAACACGGAGTAAAGCGCGTACAAAGGCGGCTGGGGAAGCCCTTCCACCACCGGCCGACCGACGAAAAAACTGCTGCTATAGCGGGAGATTTCTTCAGAAGTGGGAGAGAACTGATATATTTTCTGTCTGTGAGAAGTGGTGTTTGATTTTGAAATTTGCTGCACAGAATAAATCTGTTTGCAAGATAAAACTGAATTTCCAAACCTTCCTTTATCCCGTATTGATCTTTTCAACGTCCACATTTCTCTTCTGCCCCACATCTAATATCTGCGGGACCTTTAGAAGTGAAGTTCTTGCTTGTAGCCTGAATGTTTGCTAAATAAACTTTTATACTCTTAAAGTCTTCTTAGGTTGACTTGCAATTAATGTACAAACTGGAGTTAACCCGTGCCAGGTCTTCGATTCAAAGCCAGTTTGTGCAAACCAAAATAGGACAATTTCAGGTTTGGACAATACACTGATCCAAGAGAGTGCTAGAAAGGGCCTTGGTGTAGGGTTTCCTGCCTAGGCAGGGGGTTGGACTAGAAGACCTCCAAAGACCCTTCCAACTCTGTTATTCTATTTCTATTCATGCAGCTGCCATAAACCCAATGCCCTGAATTGCTGAGCACTACTTCAGCAACATCCACTGGCTTGCTGGCTGATTGATTAGGCTTTTTTGCAAGTGGTCATCCAGGGCCATATGCTACTTGGACAGATTCTAATACACTGACTTCTGCTAGAGAACTTCTCTCTACAGCATAAGCTCTGCCACCTGACTTGTAGCGTAGACCTATGCTATTAGTCTAAGCCACTTCTGGTTCCATTGAATAACCAATCAGGGTGCAGCTTGCTGGGTCAGGGAAGTTGTCACAGTTACTCTGAGTAAGGGAGTAATGATACCTACTTTAAATGAGATAGTTCTGCACCTCCTCTTGAAGAAGCCACTCTAGGATCCTGGGGATTTTGATAACGTCTCCTCTTCAACTTTCCTTGTAAGACAATCCTAGAAGAAATGTATCCTGCATATTAATATCCAGTCATGGGACAATAACATGATTGGTCATCCTAGTAGATGACCTTTGTTTCGACATGGTTGGGGAAGTTGAGCCCCAAAATTTTGTTGTTAAGTGAGACATTTGTTGAGTGTTGCCCAGCTGTGAAATCCACTTACCTTCACTATTGGTTCGGGAACGGGAGCACACGGGAGCGCGCATGCACTTTTTCTGCACGTGCGCAGGTGATAAAAAACTCTGCGGTGGGTGGGCAGAGCCTCCTGCTGCCAGCACTACCGGTTCAGCGAGCTGGATAGAACCGGGGGAATTTCACCACTGGTGTTGCCCCATTTTACAATGTTTTTTGCCACAGTTAAGTAAATCATTGCAGTTGTTAAGTTAGGTAATATGGTTAGGTTAGGTTAAATGAATCTGGCTTCCCCATTGACTTTGTCAGAAGGTCACAAAAGGTGATCACATGATTCCTGGGACACTGCAACAGTCATAAATATGAGTCAATTGCCAAACATCTGAATTTTGATCAGGTGACCATGGAGATGCTGCAATGGTTGTAAGTGTGAAAAACAGGCATAAGTCATCTTTTCAGTGCCGTTGTAACTTTAAGCAATCACTAAATGAACTTAGGCTGTTGGTTTGAGATCCAAGTTTGGCAATTGGTTGCAAACGTTTCATCACCATTCAAGGAACAATTCAAAACACTGACGATATCTCTTTGAATGGTGACAAAACGTTTGCAACCAAATTGCCAAGTTCGGAGCTCAAACCGCTGTGCCCTTCCGCCGTGCCCTTAAAACCCACTTTTTCCAGCAAGCCAGGCTGGCTTAGGAAGAAATTTTTTAAATTTTTAAAAATTTTTAAATGTTTAATTGGTTTGTGGTTTTTTAAATTTTTGGGCCAAATTTATATAGATTTTAATTGTTTTTAATATTTGTATTTCATGTTTTTAATTCTGGCTGTGCACCGCCCTGAGTCCTCAGGGAGAAGGGCGGTATATAAATTGAAAATAAATAAATAAAATAAATAAATAAAATAAACCAACAGCCTAACTACCAACTCGAGCTACTAATAGCACATTTCAACCAAATGAAGTGTTGTAAGTTGAGGACTAGCTGTACACTCATTTGTCACATAGGTCAAGCCAGAAATTGGAAAGCATGAACCATGTCTTAAGGCTGTCAGTTCAAAATAAGATCAAATTAATTCAGCAAAGATTAATTTGCTGTGCATCACTAAATGTTCAGGAATATTGATTCCATTAGTTGTTCAGAATTAGGTAATGCTTTCTGCAAAGGAGTTGGTTTAGAACCTGAATATCCTAGACTCATGGTTACTGTTTAAAAAGTGGATGAAGACTGACCTGGTGGATATTTTCTCAGCTTTGGCTAAGTCAACTATACTGTCTTGGGCCAGGACACTACAGCATCAATAACTCATGCAGAATTACCGTAAAGCATTTTATATGGGACAATCTTGGGAGGTGATCCAGAAGCTACAGCTGATCCCAGAAAGGCCTGTTAAGTGGCTTTTCTCTGTTTGAAGTGGACATGGAGGAGACTAGCCCTCTCTGCAGCTACCCTCACACCTTGAAATTTGTTACTTCCAAAGGTCCATAATGCTTTCTCTTGTAGGTTTTTAGAAGTTTTTTTTAAAAGAGTTCAATTCTATCAGTTCTTTAATCGTAGGTGTTTATTTCTTGAGAGCAGATTGATTATTACTGTACATTTTATCGGTTTGATTTGTTCTTATTGTTCCTTTTATAATTTTAAGTGTCTTTTTGGTTGGGTATGGAACTTTAAAATAAATACAATGTAGACTATGACACAAGGTAACTAAATAGCATATGCATATTAAAAAAGGTTTCTTCTCTGAAGAAAAATATGGAAAAAGTAAGGTTATAAATTCATGAGAAACAGAATGACTGTAAACAATAGCTGGCACTTTTAAAACTCTATTAATAAAGGTGAGAAATTGAATGTCAAAAGCATGTCCCACAGCAACAGATTCTGAACTGCCTAGTCCCTCTGAATTTTCACCACTCTTCATTTTTCTTCCTTTCTGTAACTGATAAGGTTCACCTGACCTGCTAAAATTATCTGAGGTTTACAAACCACAATACTTAGGTTCACATAATAAGTAATTATGTTCCCTAACCTGCAAAATTTCCTTAAGGCAGATAGGGTTTAAATCCAATTAATATTTTGTTCATTTGAGATAAAGGAGCAAAATATTACTTGGATTTAAACCCTTAAGGAACTTTTGCAGGATAGGGAACATACTGAATAACCCAACACAAAGTTTAATGTTTCCCAGCTAGAAGAAAACTATCTAGGAATCGGTTTCCCAGCTAGAAGAAAACTATCTAGGAATCGGTCAGTCAATCTATCTGTCTGTCTGGGCAAACAGTATTTTCCCATCAATTCAGACAACTGCTATTTTTGTGGTCAAAATCACACACTCAACGTGTGAGGAACAACTTGAGAAAGAGAACCACTTAAATACATAATTATTTCTTGCTGGGAGGAACCTGAAATGTCCAGGCAAACTTTTTTTAAAAAATATTTCATTGATTTTGTTTATATTCAATCCAGTTTTCATCGAACAGTGTTTGGTCTGGGTACAGTAATATTTCATCAGTCATAATATTAATTCTTGTTATAGCATTCACCACAATAATAGTAGTAGTAGTACAATAACATAGTAATACTATCACAATGATAGTTAATATCCTCTTCTTTAACAATTCTCCTCATTTATTTTATTTTATTTTATTTTATTTTATTTTATTTTATTTTATTATTTTATTTTATTTTATTTATTTTATTTTTTTATTTTTTTTATTTTTTTATTTTTTTTTTATTTTTTTTTATTTTATTTTATTTTATTTTATTATTTTATTTTATTTTATTTTATTTTATTTTATTCAATTTGTATACCGCCCTTCTCCTAGTGGATTCAGGGCGGTGCACAGCCAAAACTAAAACACATACCAATACAAACTTTAGAAAATTTTAAAAGAATTTCATGACTTTGGCCCTAAAATTTAAAACATTCAAACTAAAACCCATTGACAATTTAAAAAACTAAAAAAGCTAGAAAGGGCTTCCTCATTAGGATTCCCTCTTTTAATTTCTCTTCCTTTCTAACGTCTGTCTTCCTTACCTAACCATCAGACCCCTATAAAATCAAGTTTATCCAGGCGATCTTAATCCAGCTAGCAGATCATCTATATTTGCTGCTGGGCGGAGGACGTCGCGAAGGGATTTTCCGTCCTCCAATAGAGACCTGAGAGGGGCGGACTAATACAACCTGAGTGGCGTAGGAGCCCGCAGAGCCGGCAGCGGAAATTGGCAGCTGTGGCCCGTTGCCGGTCGAAGACCGGGACCGTTGATTCACGCGTGGCAGTGGATGTGGAAGAGGCGGACGAAAATGCTGCGGTTGTTGGCTGGGCTGCTGGCGGTCGCGATGGTGACGGTGACAGTGTTGATGGATCGGTACAGTTTTGCGGGGCCACAACAACCCCGGCTCCCAGCTCGCTCTTTCTCTTCCGTGCCGGCGCCCGGGGCTAAAGCTAACAACCTTTTCTGGGTGATTCAGGCAAGTGGCAGCGGGTGGCGCGGCGTGGCGTGGAAGCTTTCCGGCTACAACGGGTAAAAGCAGCGGCGTTGGTTTCTTTTTTCCCAATTGCCCGGACCCGTTAGAAGCTACTGTAATTTTGATACATGACTAACTAAAATTACGTTCCAGTTTCAAGGTACAGGGTTTTTTCTCCACCCAGATTCAGGAGAATAGAGGGGGGGGGGGAAATGGTAAAAGGAGAGAATAAAACAGAAAACTATTGAAGAGTAATGAAAGAGTAGGAAACGACTAGTTCCGATCAATAAAGAGGAAGTCACTTTTCCAATTTTGCTGGATTGGGATGA